TGGGTTTCAATGATGATCTCCAGAAAGCAATTGCCGACGAGTATCTCAGGTCTGGGCTTTCTTCTTAACCCTAGTTTTAATTTGTGCGGAGAATCGTCTGGGTTTAATTTTTTGGTTGATTTTGGCTTTGAATTGGTTTAGGTTTGAGCCGTATTTGAGGAATGCGTGTAAGCGGTTTGTGATCGAAATGAATCCTTCTTTCATTTCTGATGAGACTCCGAACAAAGACATCAATGTTTCCTTCTACAACCTCCCTTTCACAAAGAGGTAATGCAAATTAGACTCAGATTTATTAATTTAGAAAGTCTAATTCATGATATTGACTCTAAATTAGCTGTTAGTTTCTCTACTAATGATGAACAGTTGATATGTGAGGTTGAAATTTTTATTGTCTGGTTGATTGTGTTGATGACGCCATTATCAACTATTCCAGGTTGAGGGAGCTAACAACTGCAGAAATAGGGAAGCTGGTGTCGGTGACTGGTGTGGTTACTCGAACAAGCGAAGTGAGACCTGAGCTTCTTTACGGGACGTTCAAGTGCTTAGATTGTGGCAGTGTTATAAAGAACGTTGAGCAGCAGTTTAAGTACACACAGGTACTTGCTTGATTGCTTGATTTTGGTCTTCTTTCACTTTTTGCTTGTTTGTTTTATAATTGATGGTCGTCTTTTTGCAGCCTACGATCTGTGTGAGCCCAACTTGTTTGAACAGAGCAAAATGGGCACTGCTTAGACAAGAGAGCAAGTTTGCGGATTGGCAAAGAGTAAGAATGCAGGAGACTTCAAAAGAGATACCTGCAGGTTCCTTGCCACGGTCGTTGGATGTCATTCTGCGTCATGAGATTGTGGAACAGGCCAGAGCTGGTGATACGTAAGATTCCTCTTGCATCTCAGTTCTCTAATTTATTTCTAAGAATCAAGAGTTGCATTCATTGTTGTCCTTTATTGGGTTTGTCTTCACAGGGTTATTTTTACGGGGACGGTAGTTGTTATACCTGACATATCGGCACTGGCAGCACCTGGAGAGAGAGCAGAATGCCGTCGAGACTCATCACAGAAAAGCTCCACTGCTGGACATGAAGGTGTCAAAGGTCTCAAGGCTCTAGGAGTTAGAGATCTTTCGTATCGGCTTGCCTTTATCGCAAACTCAGTGCAGGTTTGTCAGCTATAGTAACTGTCAAATCAAAATTTATCTGAGATGTGTTGATCAATCTCAATGTTTGTATTTTCCAGATTGCTGATGGTAGTAGGAGCACTGACATGAGGAACCGCCAAAATGATTCTAACGAAGATGATCAGCAGCAGTTCACGGTGAGCGCTTAGAATAAATAACCTACAGGAGTCGAGTCAGTTATTATTTGCAGGATCTTGAGAATGTTGGTTCTTGTTTAAATTTGACAGACAGAGGAGCTAGATGAAATTCAGCAGATGAGAAACACTCCTGATTACTTCAACAAGTTAGTTGGAAGCATGGCACCAACCGTCTTTGGTCATCAAGACATCAAGCGTGCAGTTCTACTTATGCTTTTAGGCGGCGTGCATAAGACAACTCATGAAGGCATCAACCTTAGAGGAGACATCAACGTTTGTATAGTTGGGGATCCCAGTTGTGCTAAATCCCAATTCCTCAAGTACTGAAATCTCTCCTTGAATCTCAAAACTGTCTTGTTTTTTTACCTTTTCTGTAAGTTGATCCCTCGGTGTCGGTCTGATATTTGCAGATATACAGCAGGCATAGTACCAAGATCTGTGTATACATCTGGGAAGTCCTCTTCTGCAGCTGGGCTAACTGCAACTGTGGCTAAAGAACCGGAAACTGGTGAATTTTGCATTGAGGTAATCATATGTGCATTGTTATATATTGCTGGCTACAAAACTATAAATTAACCTAAACTTTGTGGATTGCTTTGAACAATGCTAGCTTCCCTAGACTTCTATGTTTTAATTTTAGTTAGTGTTATCTGAATCTTTGACAGGCTGGTGCTCTTATGCTTGCTGACAATGGAATATGTTGCATTGACGAGTTTGACAAGATGGATATCAAAGATCAGGTATGTGATCATCATTGCTTATTATAGTACTGAAGATTGAGTTTTTATGGCTGTAGCTAATGGAAATTTACTGTTACATTTGGACACAAAAGGTGGCTATTCACGAAGCGATGGAGCAGCAAACGATAAGCATAACAAAAGCCGGGATTCAAGCAACCTTGAATGCAAGGACATCAATTCTTGCAGCAGCTAATCCTGTTGGTGGCCGATATGATAAATCTAAACCCCTTAAGGTGAGGTTCATTTGTATTTTTTATCTTTGTTTAAGAATTGATGTTTTTCTTTTAATATCTAATCGTTGTCTTCTTGGTCATTCTATTTCTAGTATAACGTCAATCTTCCACCTGCCATTCTCTCGAGGTTTGATCTTGTGTATGTTATGATTGACGACCCTGATGAGGTAACGGATTACCACATTGCTCACCATATCGTGCGAGTACACCAGAAGCACGAAGCAGCGCTTTCTCCTGAATTCACCACCGTACAGCTTAAGCGCTACATTGCATATGCCAAAACCTTGAAGCCAAAGGTTGTATAGCTCACTCAACTGATTCACCAAGAAAATGATTTTGACTTGGAGATGCTAACATACTTTTTTGGTGTCTTGGTTTCTTGTTGCAGCTAAGCCCAGAAGCAAGAAAGCTACTGGTCGAGTCTTATGTTGCTCTACGTAGAGGCGATACAACTCCTGGCACAAGAGTCGCATATCGAATGACAGTTAGGCAGCTTGAAGCACTGATCAGGCTCTCAGAAGCCATTGCTAGGAGTCATTTGGAAATTCTGGTGAGATTACCCTTAACGACTGTTTCTCGTTTCTCTTTTGTTTCTCACTATCCATTTGCTTTATCTGGGAAGGGAACTTTGTTTTTTTTTGTTGTTGTTAGGTTAAACCAAGTCATGTTCTTTTGGCTGTTAGACTATTGAAGACTTCTGTCATCAGGTAACTTTCAAAGCAAACCCTCTCTTTTCATCTCTTCGTTTCCTTCAAAAGCTTAACAGTAGAACAACCATATTTTGTTTTCTCTTATCCAGTGTTGAGTCAGGCGATATCGATCTTTCTGAGTATCAAGATCAAGATGCAAACGGTGAAAACATGGACGACGATGATGATGATGATGATGAAAATCCCGGTAATGGAGATGACGATCAACAGAATGGTGCAACAGAGCCAGCTTCTGCAACAGCAGGTACTTATATGTTCTTCTTTTTTTTTCTTCCTCTGACTCCTTTCTAGTTTTCATACTTCAGAATCATAACAAACATCATGATACAGCAAACGAGAATGGAGCAGCAGCAGCAGCAGCTCCAAAGCTGGTGATTAGCGAGGAAGAATATGATAGAATCACGCAGGCCTTAGTCATTCGCCTTAGACAACACGAAGAAACTGTTAACAAAGACAGTAAGCAACATCACTCCTTTAAATGTCTCCATACCATTCATTCCTCTGTTACAACTCTTGAAACAAATTAATTTTGCGACTGAGTAAATTCTTTTTCTTCTTTAGGTTCTGAATTGCCTGGAATGAGACAAAAGGAACTGATTCATTGGTACATCGATCAACAGAACGAGAAAAAGAAATACAGTTCGCAAGAGCAAGTCAAACTCGATATCAAGAAGCTCAGAGCAATCATTGAGGTAAAATCCATAACGATTTTATAAGTTAAAGATTATGTTTCTCTACCTAACACAATCTACAAACCATACAGAGCTTGATATGTAAAGAAGGTCATCTTATAGTGTTAGCCAACGAGCAAGAAGCCCCAGAAGCAGAAGAAACAAGAAGTAAGTCTTCACAAAGAGACGAGAGGATCTTGGCCGTTGCTCCAAATTATGTCATCGAGTGATGTTATTTATTGTAAGTTACATTTGTAGAACTCTAATGTAGAAGCCTAAATCCTTCCATCATCATTTTGAACTAATATTATTGGATTTTTCATATTTGGTTAGCTTAAAAGTCACTAAGCTCTTAAAGATGTATTGGATCTACAATCAAAGTTAAACTTTAACTTGCAAAATACCTAAAAAGAAAAACACAAAATCGGTTAATACTTACTAGTTAATCTTGTTTTGGTTTCTTGCATTTATACATGGCAATAGCACGCACTATTGAAATGTCGAAGCTTGGTTATTTAAAAACTGCCTCAAAACTGTATTATAAAAGTTGTATGATTATAATCTTGTTTCAACCCTTTGATATTTGATGTATCTATAAAGGCAAGCAAAGTTGGGACTCTTCATTTACTCTCTCATCTTACTTTCGAGGCCGGAAAAGAGGATAATAGTAACTTAAAACGCACTAAATTCCCCTAAATTCCCCTAAATTCTTTGACATTTATCAACTGAAATAAATCCATAATGTGATTGAAGTTATCATCGATTTGGTCGTTGATAACATCCCGATGTGTGGGGGTATCAAGTAAATGGAAGAAATAAGAGCGGACGTGAAGGTGGTGAAAACAACGCGAGAAGAGACAAGAAGCACATGAGTGAAAGAAAGGACCTTAATATCATTGTCATGTCATGTTTACGTTGTCGGATGATAAGATAGGTTTAGCCAGTGGCCCAGTGGCTTGCTTAAGTCCTAATCGAAACCGAACTAATTAATTATTTCATGCAATGGTAATTATAATTAGATTATCATCATTATTTGGTCAACAGTGAACAATATTTGTGTGAGAAAAGCATCTCTCACGTGTGTATAAAACAAAGATATTACATAAAGTACGAACGATACATAAAATATGGAAAATATAATAATCTCTCTCTGCTTAGCAGCCATCTTTGCTTTTCTCTTCCTTAAATCACTCCTCAAACGAACCACCGGTCCACCGCCACCAAACTTAACCAACCACCATCTCCATGGCGACTTCCGGTGATCGGAAACCTCCACCAACTCAGCCTCCACCCGCACCGCTCACTCGGTTCCCTCAGCCTACGCTACGGCCCACTCATGCTCCTTCACTTCGGTCGTGTCCCTGTTCTCGTGGTCTCGTCAGCTGAAGTGGCTTATGATGTCATGAAAACACATGATCTTAAGTTCGCTAATCGCCTGAAAACGAAAGCTGTCAATATAATTATGAACAGCGGACGAGATGTGGCTTTTTCCTCCTACGGCGAATACTGGAGACAGCTGAAGGTATGGTTTTATATATATTCACTATACAATTTTGTTGTTTGAATTTTGCAGATTGAAATTTTATTGGTTGAATTGTTATGAGATTGATGATAAAGCATGTTTTATTTTAATAAAATAGAAAATTAAATGTTTTTCTTAATATATGTGCATAGCTAAAAAAAAACCACTTATTGGAGAATATAGAGAGTATTTTGCTCTGTTTCATACTCCCTCCGTTTCAAAATACTTGTCATTCTAGCCTTATTTTTTTGATTCAAAATAGTTGTCGTTCTCACTTTCCAATGCAAAATTTAATATTAAATATCTAGTTTAACCTTGATCTAATGAAAAATACTAATAGTCAATTTGCTTTTTAAGGGTATAATAGAGTTTTTAATCTATTTTATTAATCTGCGTGAAATCTCCTAGAACGACAAGTAATAAGAAACAGATATTTGGATGTGTTTTGATTTAAATACATCCACATACATTTCATATACATTTTAAAAAACGACAACTAATATGAAAGGATAATTTAGTGCTTTTAATTTGGGTAAAGTAATTATAAGTAGAGTCTACTAAAAGGATTAGTTTGCTGACAGCTTATATATATGATGAATTTTCAAAATCTTAGAGTATTATGTACAAACATAGTAGCGAGTTAAGTGGAGGAAGACTTAGGATAACTGATGAATGTTTTAAAATCTTCTTTGGATGAAGAGTGTATGCACTGTCCATCTCCTTGGCAAGAAAATGGTCAAGTCCTTTGAGAAAGTAAGAGAAGACGAGGTTAAGGCAATGATGGATAGGGTTGAGAAAGGGAGTTCCTTTTCTTTGCCGGTAAATCTAAGTGAATTCCTGCTTGATATGTCTAACAGTGTGGTATGTAGAATCGCTATGGGAAGGAAATATAGCCGCGAGGAAAAGACTGGGGATTTTGAGAATAATATGAGAAAAATCGTGGAGCTCCTAGGCGCATTTCCAGTCGGAGATTACATTCCGGGTTTGGCATGGGTAGATAAAATCCGCGGTTTGGATTGTAAAATGGAACAAGTAAGCAACTCGTTCATGGAGTTTCTAGAAAGAGTGGTGCAAGAACATGTAGATCATGAAGGTGAGAATAAAGAGACATTTGATTTTGTTGATATTTTGTTACGTATTCAAAGAGAGAAGACAGATGGATTGGAGCTTAATAGAAGCGACATCAGAGTAATCATTTTGGTAATTAAGACAAACCATCCTTTACTTAATTAACAACACTGTCCTTGTAATATAAATCTGAAATAAGACACTCACCTGATTAAAATATTGTTTCATAATGTTACTCTTTTTTTTTCTATTGGTCAAATTGTTTTCATAATGTTACTAAACATGAAACTTTGTGCTTGATTTATACAGGATATTTTCTTAGGAGGGACATCAACGACTTTCACGACCCTAGATTGGGCAATGACACTTCTTATAAGACATCCAAATTATATGAGAAAGCTCCAAGACGAGATCAGAACGTATTCGAGACATAAATTATTTACAGTGGAGGAAGAAGTTGACAAAATGAAATACCTAAAAGTTGTGATTAAAGAAGTCCTTCGACTACATCCCCCAGGCCCATTGTTGGTTCCAAGACAACTAAGTGAAGATGTCAAGCTGAAGGGCTACGACATTGCGGCTGGTAAACATATTAAACAACAAATGTTTTGGATCCAAGTATATATTTAAATCATGTTGTGATTATACGTGGCTAAGCAGGTGTTCATCAATGCTTGGGTGATCCATCGAGACACCACAACATGGGGACCAGATGCAGAAGAATTTAGACCAGAGAGACATTTGGATGTACCTTTGGGATTCCAAGGACAAGATTTCAAGTACATTCCATTTGGATCGGGCAGAAGGTTATGTCCCGGAATAGGATTTGGATTGGCGTTAATTGAGGTGACATTGGCCAACCTTGTGAACCGGTTTAACTGGAGAGTCGAGACTAGGCCATCAGGAGATGATGATGAGTACTATCTAGCTGAAACAACTGGTATTGAAGTTTGCCGCAAGTTCCCTCTAATTGCCTTCCCATCTTCATCTTAATACTTTTCTCTATCGAGTATGAGAATCACTTGTGCCATGTTGTTGGCATGATCTCTGTTTTTTTGCTTGAACCTTGTGAAAAATTGTTGCTTGTTTTTTGTGCTTGAAACAGACCCATTTTACAAGCCATTGCTTCTTGTTTGGTACATAATGTTGGGTTACCTTTGTGTAAAAGAATAGATAAAAACCGAAACAACCACCTTTAGTTGCAATCAGAGAGTACATTTGTTTGTGAATAACTTAGACAAAGAAACTTGGACGAACGAAAAATAGAGTAAACTTGAAACTTGTATTCTTCATTAAGACAAAACTCAAAAAAAAAAAAAAAACAACAATCATCAAAGGAATTAGCATTTCTTACTATCATCGTTTTTAAACAAAGAATGAATTGCTCTCTTATCATTACTCTTATCCAACTTTATATAATAAAATAGCGGATTTTGTTCAACCAAGTGAACAAGTTAGTGAGACATCCATAGTTGAGAGAAAAAGGAATTCACATTTTACAGTATGAAATTATGTTATCCTTTTTCACTCAATTTATATTTTAATTAATTGATGATGTTTTTAACATGAAGAGTGTATGCACCGTCCATCTCCTCAGCAAGAAAGTGGTCAAGTCCTTTGCGAAAGTAAGATAAGAAGAGATTAAGGCAATGATGGATAGGGTTGAGAAACGGAGTTCTTCTTCTATGCCGATAAATCTAAGCGAAAATCTCTTCGATTTGTCTAACGATGTGATATGTAAAATTGCTATGGGAAGAAAATATAGCGGCGAGGAAAACTCTAACGATTTTGGAAATAATCTGAGAAAAATCTTGGAACTTCTAGGCGCATTTCCGGTCGGGGATTACATCCCGAGTTTGGCATGGGTAGATAAACTACGCGGTTTGGATTGAAAGTGCATGGGGGTACCGATACAAACTGTGAATGATACAGAAAGTAGTACGAGCATAAATAGTAGTAAAGACACATAGAGTTTGTTAACGGGGTTCGTTTCCTACATCCCCGGGACCTCGTCCAGAATCCACTAGAACAAGATTGCAATTACAATTGCTATGGTATCCAGCACTACAATGCCTACCATTCTCTCCTAGATGGATACATTCAAACAATGCCCTTAACCCTTTGTTTGGTCTTCCTACTAGAACCCCAAAACCTTATGCTAAGGCATCTTCGAATGTAATGGGTTGAGCACATCCAATGCTCTCCACGTCCTATTTATCCACAATAGGTACGCTTTGAAACCCTTCAAGATTTCTCCCTTGGTGATCACTCCAAATCTCCAAGAGAATATTTCTTATTTTTCTCTAGGAAAAGGAAATATTCCTAGTTGCTTGATAGCTTCGAATCTCTTCGTCCAACTTAGCTCTTGACTCTTCTAGAATCTTCTAGACTCGCCTCCTCAGCTACAAGCATATGTCCAGCCCATCAGATCGATTCCTTAAGCCCATCTGCTGAACACGACTCTCTGTACTACTTCTTGACTGATACATGAAGTCCTTCATTCAACTGTATCTTCACCTGTTATGACATGTTCTAAAACTCGGTCAGCACTGCATCAACATGGATCGTCAAATGGAAGAAGTAAGCAAAACGTTCATGGAGTTTCTAGAAAGAGTGGTGCAAGAACATGTAGATGAAGGTGAGAATAAAGAGACATTTGATTTTGTTGATATGTTGTACGCATTCAAAGAGAGAAGACAGATGGATTGGAGCTTGATAGAAGCGACATCAGAGTAATCATATTGGTAATTACGACAAACCATCTTTTACTTAACAACACTATCCTTTCAATATATAAATATAAGAAACTCTGTGCTTCTTTTAAATAGGATTTTTCGCAGCAGGAACAGAAACAACTTTCACTAGCATCGATTGGGCAATGACACTTCTTATAAGACATCCAAATGCTATAAAAAAACTCCAAGACGAGGTCAGAACGAATTCGAGACATCAATTATTTATATCGGAGGAAGAAGTTGACAAAATGAAATACCTAAAAGCTGTGATTAAAGAAGTCCTTCGACTACGTCCCCCAGGCCCATTGTTGGTTCCAAGACAACTAAGTGAAGATGTCAAGCTGAAGGGATACGACGTTGCGGCTGGTACACAGGTAAACATATTAAACAATAATATTTTTCGATCCAAGTATATATTTAAATCGTGTCATGAATATACGTGGATAAGCAGGTGTTGATCAATGCTTGGGTGATCCATCGAGACACCACAACATGGGGACCAGATGCAGAAGAATTTAGACCATAGAGACATTTAGATCAACCTTTGGGATTCCAAGGGCAAGATTTCAGGTACATTCCATTTGGATCGGGAAGAAGGCTATGTCCCGGAATAGAACTTGGAATGGTGTTCGTTGAGATGACATTGGCCAATCTTGTGAACCGGTTTAACTGGAGAGTCGAGGCTAGGCCATCATGAGATGATGATGAGTAGTATCTAGCTGAAACAACTGGTATTGAAGTTTCTCGCAAGTTCCCTTTAATTGTCTTCCCATCTTCATCTTAATACGCCAGAAATCATAGTTTTCTCTATCGAATATGAGAATCACTTGATGCCATGTTGTTGACATGATCTTTACTTTTGCTGGAAACTTGTTTTTTCAGACTATTGCTTGTATTTGGGCGTGAAACAGACCTTTGAATCAATAAGGCTCCGATACCATTTTAAACGCCATACTTACTTCTTATTCGGTACATAAATATTATGATGGTTGCAAAAGAATAGATAAACGGGAACTACTTTAGGTTGTATTCATAATAGATTTGTTTGTGAATAACTTGGACGAACGAGTAAATCTGAAACCTTTGTTCTTCATTAAGATCGACAACACTCTTTTAGTCTTTTTATCAAAAAGATCGACAACACTCGACTTACTTTCATAACTTAGCTGACATGATTCTTCCAAGTGAAAATTGTCGCTCAAAGTGACAGAATATGGAAACCATCCATGAGTCATCATGAGTCAGTATCAAGGCAATACCTCTAATTCCTCTCGAGTCATCATGAGTCAGTATTAAGATTGTGGTTTACTTTGTAGTTAATATTGTATATTTGCTTTCCATGTAAAGTGATCTCACTCTCTCTACATACACATCAATAATATTCACCAAATTCCTTTACTCTATATGAAGTACAAGGAATACATATTTTACATGATTATTTTCAGTTACCAAAATCTAATATATTATTTGCGAAGTGAAAATTTCGTTTAGAGCCACCACGTTAACTCTCAGCTGGTTGATTACCCAGTTACCCTTAATGAAAATCTTTTTTAAATCTTCATAATTTCCTTTTTTAAATGTCACGATTTATATTTCTAATTAAAATATTTAACGATAATAATAATCCTAACTACCATATTGCGCCACAATTATGTAAAAATTAAAAAATTTGGAAAGAAAAAAAAAGGGAAAACCTAGATTTCTTAACCGACTATGTCTTATATAAATAGATAGCAATAATGAAAATCAAAACAATCCACATTCTTCAACCTAGAGGTGAGATAATTTCTTCGAGTCCATATCTCATCTTTTCTTATGTAGGTTATTCGTTTTTAGTTTGATCTTACGTCTATACCTTTAAGTTAAAGTCGTATAATCAGTCGATATGTTCTCTGTTCGACAATAGATTCACAGGAATATCCGATCCATTCATGATTTCTTCAGTCTGAAAAAAATAAAAACAGAACCAATGATGCCGAGATCCCTAGCTTCATGACGCTTTACTTCGAAAATCCTGATCATCAAGGTCACCAAGTTGGCCCTGATGATCCTCAGATCACAGAAGCTGTAGTGAACATCGATAGGTTAATAGGAAGAATCATCGATGGGTTAGAGAAAAGAGAGGTTTTTTATGATGTGACAATGATTATGGTTGGTGATTATGGAATGGTTGGAACTTGTGATTAGAAAGTCGTTGTTCTTGATGATTTAGCTTCTTGGATCGAAATCCCTAGCAGCTGGGTTCAGTATTACACTCCGTTGCTAGCGATTAAACCGCCTTCGAATGGAAACGCAGCGGATATGTGGCGAAGATGAACGAAGCCCTAAGCTCTGGTGAAGGAAGTTGAGAATGGCAAGTACTTGAAAATTTATCTCAAAGAGGATTTACCTAGCAGGCTGCATTATGTGGAGAATGATCGGATCCCTCCTATTATAGGATTGGTCGATGAGGGTTTTAAAGTGGAGCAGAAGAAGAGTGAAGCCAAAGAATGTGGTGGAGCTCATGGGTACGACAATGCCTTCTTCTCGATGAGAACTATATTTATAGGGCATGGTCCGATGTTCTTGGAGGGAAAGAAAGTGGCTTCTTTTGAGAATGTTGAGATATACAATGTGATCAGTTTGATTCTAGGGCTTAAGGCTGCTCCTAACAATGCGTTCCGGTACCCACAAAACGTAAGAACAGATTGTCTCGAAAAAATAACAAATTCTGCAGTCTATTAAAACAATGTTCTATTTTTCTAACACGTTTTAGTCAACAAGTGAGGGAAAAAGAAGGTAAATCATGAAGAAGATACGATCATTCAGAAAAACAGAAACTATTGATATGCATAATTTACGGTTAAATGTACTCATACTATCTTGATAAATAACTAACAAAAATATGTTTTCAAATTGTACTTCATAATCATTGCCAACATCTGCCGGAGTATAATGATTTCGCCTGTTTTGTTACAACCGATTCTGATGGAACGTGATTCCGATGGACATCGCCTAAAGAGGGAATAAAAAGGACAATCCCAAAAGAAGGTCACAGAAAAGGGAAAAAAAATGATGAAATTGTTCCAACAACAACAACTGAGAACGATAATTTTAACAATTATATTGATTTATAATTCTCACTACTTCTGAATTTATACTAATAAACGATTATCAACATGGATTTTATGAACAGATTATGTTGATGATGGTGATCCGACGTAAGTTTGTGAAAACTGTAATGCTTTAATGTGGTTTGGAGAACGAGTAAAGAAACTGTAATGTGTTTCACAACATGTTGCCACAAAGGAAAGGTTGATCTACCACGTCTTAGAGAACCATCAGATATGTTAAAGGCTTTGCTTTATAACAGCGATGATGAAAGAAGCAAACACTTTCATGAGTTTTTTTAAATCTCACAATTTATATATTTAATTAAAATATTTAAGGATAATAATCCTAACTATCATATTATACGCCACAAATATGGAAGAATTTAAAGTTGGAAAAAAAAACCTAGATTTCTTAAATGACTATGTATTATATAAATAGATAGCAACAAGGAAAATCAAAACAATCCACGATTCTTCTTTCTACACGAAAAAAACCTAAACATCTAAAAATATATATATACTAACTTTAGATCTCTCTCTTCATGTCATGAATGATAGTTTTCTTAGCCGCCGACGATGAACCCCGTAAATTAATTTTGTGCTAGATGTCTAAAGTGGCTTAAGTAAAGTCTTACCGTTGGTATAACCAGAAAAAGGCAGAAAAAGCTTACTACACAAGTGAAGGAGAAGAACAAAGGCTACAGTTCTTGATGTCAAGGAATTTGAGTTAATATAGTGGTTTAGATGTTAGGCTGCTTTAGGATTTGGTTATGGAGTAATCTTCCTTTGCTGAAATACATTAAGAAATAGAAAAAAAAGCAAAATAATTAAAGCAAAAACAGAATCAAAATATAACAAAACAAATAAAATTTTAAAAGATCTCGACTATATAACTATTTCACAAATCCTTGAAAATATAAAGTATTAAATGAATTGATAAGTGAAATACAAGAACAAAAAAAGAGAGTAAAAAGAAAAGAAGACGATAGAACAGAAGATGGAAAACTTTGAAAAGAAGAAAACTCGAACATGAGGAGAAAAAAATCAAAGAATAAAAACTAAAATGTAAAGAGAAAAATGACAAGAAGAGATAAATAAAAACTAAAATATGATGATGTGAGAGAAGACGAAGATTATAAAGATAGAGAGAGAGATGGGGAATGAGGAAGAGAAAAAAACGGAAAAAGAGTGTAAAGAAAATTAAAAAGAAAAAGAAAAATAGTGAGTGTTAGAGGATATGAAGACACAATAAAAGATTGAAGAAAATAAATTGGAAGAAGAAGAAGAAGAAAAAAAAATGATGATGACAACGAAAAAAGGAAGAAAAAAACAGAAGATGGAATCACTAAAGAAGAATATAAGGGCGAAAAAACAACCATTACAAAAAATAAAACAAAAACTTCTTCTTGAAAAAGTAGAAAAATAAACGCAAATTTGAGAACCAATTTGTAATGTGGGTTCAGGTGTGCAGTTTAGGGGGAGGGTTATAATATGGTTTGGGTTTAGAGTGTAGGGTTGTTTAAGGGGAAGGGTTCTAATGTGGGGTTTGGGTTTAGGGTGTAGGGTTTATATTGATGGGTGTAGGGTTTAGTTTTGGTGCATTTTTAAAAACTTGAACTATTATGGAAGTATATCAAAATTAAAAATTGTTCATTATAATTTTATATTTACCTATTTAAAATACATTCACAAATAGATAAAAAAACGAAAACAATTACAGAAAATCCAAAAGATAACAAAGCAATTTTTTTTTAAAAGATCTCAACTATATAAAGATAAAAATAATTTCAAGAATCCTTAAAAATATAAACTATCGAATGAACTGATAAATGAAAGACAAGACGTAGACAAAAACGAAAAACACGAGTACAAGAAAAGAAGACGGTGGAAAGAAGAAGGGAAACTTCAAGAACAAGAAGAAAAATCGAACATGAGAAGAAAAAAATTAAAGAAGAAAAAATGGACTAAAGACAAAAAAGAGATAAACAAAATGTTTAATAGGATGAAGATGAAGATGATAAAGAAAGAAAATTAGAAAAAAAAAATAAATAGTGAGTTGGAGGATATGAAGACACAAGAAAAGATTGAAGAAAACAAATTGGAAGAAGAAGAAGAAATAAAAAAAGATTATGACAATGAATAAAAAAATGGAAGAAAAAGAAGAAGATGGGATTACTGGAGAAGAATAGAAGGGAGAAAAAAAAATCATTACAAAAAAAAACCTTCTTTTAAAAAATAATAAAATAAAAGCAAATCCAAAACACATTTGTAATGTGGGGTTCATGTGTGCGGTTTAGGAAGAGGTAGAGGGGGGGTTTGTAATGTGGGTTTGGGTTTAGGGTGTAGGGCTGTTTAGGAGAGAGGGGGGGTTATAATGTGGGGTTTGGGTTTAGGGTGTAGGGTGAATAAAAACCACTAGAAAATAAAAAAATGACAGATCAGACAAAGACGATGAAGAGGAAGGAGAAAAAAGATAACATGAACATAAAGAATAAGAAGTCAAAGTTGGAAAAATAGGAAATAAAAACGAGAAGAATAAAAAGTTAGAAAAGAAAAGTTACTAATGAAAGAGGAAAGAATTCGGGAAAACGAACAATCAAAGAGAGTCAAGTGATATGAAGGTAGGGTTTATATTGGTGGGTTAGGGTTTAGAAGGTAGGGTTTATATTGGTGGGTGTATGGTTTAGTTTTTTGTGTTTTTTAAATCCTTAGTTTTTGAAAATTTTAATAAAAAAAGAAAACTTTAGTCTTTGAAAATTCTAATGAAAAGGAAATAGAAAAAAAAATATATTGTTTAATCTTTTGCTCAAATCATATCGATAAAATAATAGCACTGCTTATTCTTAAAATTTCAAGTGAATTTTTGTAGAACAACAACAATTATAACAAATTAAGCCAGAAATATTTAGTTCAAAATGAAAAGAGTTGTCAAAAAATTTCTTAATCGACAGTGGTTTAAGAATTTGATACAGGAATTTTGCTTTAAAATATATAGCAGCCAGTTGCTATTTATCCTTCAATTTAGTCAATTTACCTAGAAACAAAAAGCGGATCAATAAGAAGCTGAAGAAGACGAATGTGATAAGAAGTAAATGAAATACTTGAGGACGAAAAAATATCGAAAAAAAAATAAAGAAAAATCAGAAAAATAAGGAAGTAGAAGACATCAGAGAAGATGAAAAGGATGAAACAAGAACACCAACAAGAATGAGAAGATGAAAAAAGAGAAAAGAAAAGAAAAAGATGAATCAGAAAAAACGATAAAAAGAGAGAAAAAAGAAGTTAAGATCGTTGGAGAAAAAGAAGAGGAATAATTAGCCGCATACAGAAAAGACGAAGAAGAAGCCGAGAAGGTGAATAAAACCACTAGAAAATAAAAAATGACAGATCACACAAAGATGATAAGAGGAAGGAGGAAAAAAATAACATGAACATAAAGAATAAGAAGTCAAAGTTGGAAAAATAGGAAATAAAAACGAGAAGAATAAAAAGTTAGAAAAGAAAAGTTAGTAATGAAAGAGGAAAGAATTCGGGAAAACGAACAATCAAAGAGAGTCAAGTGATACGAAGACGATAAATTAATTGAAGAAGAATGAGAATACAAGGAAGAAGAAAAATAGAAAGAAAAGAAAAGACGAAGAAAAATCGGAAGAAATGGAAAAAGAAGAATTTGACATAGACAATAAAAAAAAATGAGATCGTCGGAGTTTAGTTGATTTTTGCATACATGAAAGTTGTATAATAACGAATAATGTTTTGGATTAGGATAAAACTCATGAAAGATTTGAAAGACAAGAATTATGAAATTAATAAAATGGTATATAAACTATAAAGTAGTTATCTAATACATTTGGTTTGGTATGAATATTTAATGAGTATAATTTGATAGTTTTTCAAATGATACAAATTTTTAGTTTTATTTTTTCAAAATAGTTCATGGCGGCGCAATGTAGAATCTCTTCAGAAAGAATCAGTTGGGGTTTCTTTTTTCCTCTTTCCTCATCTAATATTTTATTTTTATGAAAAACAAAACAAATGAAATAATAAAAAATAAAAAAACAATAGAAGAATGTAACAATTAAAAAAAAATTCGATTAATTCAAAAAATACAAAATATATGAAATTGACTGATATAGTATATAAATAACTCATCCAAAACATAATGAAACTTAAATTATTTTTATCAAATTAATTTTGTATATCTACATAAGTTTAAAAGTCAATCATCTTAAATTATATTACTTATGCAATTAAAATTTTGATTAAATTTATTATTTTAAAAATGTTATGCCCGCACAAGGTGCGGGCCAACCACCTAATAAGTATGAATATTTAATAACTTTTTTTTTTGAACGACCGAAATTTTTATTAATAAATCACCACCTACAAAGTGGGTCCCGCTGGGACGAAAGGGAAATTAAACCGTTTTTTGCCGATTTGGCGATTGCATCTGCCAAGGCATTCTCAGATCTACGGATAGAGATGAACGAAATCGAAGAAAACATAAAGGCAAGAGCATGGATATCAAAGAGGAGACCGTAGATCTCCTTGATCTGCTCGTGCGTGTTCAAAGCTCGGATGAGATCCTCAGCGTCTGGCTTGAGGATGATGTTGGAGAAGCCGTTCTCCAGGGCATGATTCAAAGCGGAACGGATCGCAAGAGCTTCCATGGCTAAGGGGGATGAGACGAAACGCTCGGCTGAGTGGCCCCGGGAAACTTCAGTTCCATCGTTGTCGACCACGATCCACCCCGAACCTCCTATTCCTGAGTCTTTGCACCATGCACCGTCTGTAAAGTAGGTAAGGGCTCTGATTTGGTCTGGTGATCGGGTTATAGCAAAAGGGCTTCGAACCAGAGGTTGACTTAATAGTTGTGATGATTGCCATTCCTTCGCTTCCGTAACAGCTTTGTGGATTGTTTCTTCAGGTTGGAAGAGTCGGTCTTCAAAGATCAGGGTATTCCTTGCTTTCCAAATAGCCCAGACGATCCAGGGGAAGAGCGGTCTGGAGCCTGCGCCAATCGGAGGAAGGCAGATCCAGGATTTGGAGGTGGTTAAGGCCGCTGAGAAGGATTGGATTTGGTTTAGGTTCAGGGTAATAGAGAATGGGGCCAGACTCCAAACTGCCAAGGCATAGGGACAGTGGAAGAACAAGTGTTCTGTTGTTTCAAGTTCGCCGCAATGGATACAGCAAGCCGTATCCATTAACCCTCGATTGAGTAAGTTCTCGCCTACAAGTAAAGTCTCTTGGAGTGTTTTCCATAGGAACACTTTCAACTTTGGTGAGAATTTTCCGTTCCACACATCTGACATCCAATTGATTGGATCATGCATGTTGTGGGGATCAGTCAGGAGTTCTTGTGCAGCCACAGCTGAGTGGTAACCCGTCTTAACAGAGTAGTCGCCTGACTTGGTGGATAGCCATATGTAGGAGTCCGGGGCTCCTTTCTTGCTCGGTTTGATGGCCAGGATTTGCTTCAGCTGGTGCGGTAAGACTTCTTTTTTTATCTTTTCAAACAACCATTCCCCATTCTGGTTGTTTAGCAGTTCTGAGACCTTTATTTCTGTGTGTAGGTGATTCTGTGGACCTATGGGTTGGGAGGGCTGATCAAGTGAGAGCCACAGATCGTTCCAAACTGAGGCCGAAGCCCCATTCCCAATGACTCGTCCAAGGCAACTTTTTAGGAGATCTCTCCCAATGAGAATCCCTCTCCAGCCGTGGGATGTGGAAAATGTGATCGGGACCGAGAGGAAGTCATAGTCTTTTCAATATTTCCCTTTGAGGACCCAGCTGAAAAGGCAATCAGGGTTTTGAAGGATCCTCTAACTGATCTTGGCTAGAAGAGCATCATTGAAGCACTGAACTTCTCTGAAACCCAAGCCTCCTTTCTTCTTTGAGCGTGTAAGTTTTTTCCAAGAAATCCAACACATTTTCCTCTTCTATGAGTTTGCATCCCACCATAATCTCGTTAGAAGATAAATGGCGAGAGGGGATCCCCTTGTCTGATGCCACGTTGTGGGAAGACTTGTCTTTGTGCTGTTCTATTGACTAGAAAGGTGTAGGAGACTGTGGAGATACACTGGAAGATCCAGTTTGTCCACTTTGGGTGGAATCCCATTCTGTCCAAGACGGCGGCTATGAAGTTCCATTTCAAACGGTCATAGGCTTTGCTCATATCCGTTTTCACGGCCATGGAGCAGTGTTTAGTAGCTCCGGATCCTTTAAGGTAATGTAAGACTTCATGAGTAATAAGAACGTTGTCTGAGATGGCTCTTCCTGGGATGAAGGCAGTCTGATTCTCAGATATGATTGTGGATAGGATGGGTTGAAGTCTTTTAGTGAGGAGTTTGGAGATGATTTTGTAGTAAACGTTGCAGAGGGCTATAGGTCTATACTCTGACACTGATTTCGGGCTAGGGACTTTGGGGATTAGCCTCACATGGGTTTCGTTTAGGGAATTGGGAATAATACCTGCTGCGAGTATTTCTTTCACCTCTTTTGTTATTTGGGGACCCATAAGAGACCAGTTTTTTTGGAAAAAACATGCAGAGAAGCCATCGGGTCCTGATGCTTTGTCCGGACTGATAGAGAATAAAGCCGCTTTGATCTCTTCCGGAGTGAGTTCGCGTATGAGGGTTTCATTTGTTTCCTCGGAGATGCAGGGATGGATGGCCTGGTGAACTGTTTCCTCGCAGCTTGAGGATCGGGAGATGAAGATGTCTTGAAAGTAAGCTGAAATAACTTGCACTATTTTCTCTTCCTCATAGACTGCTGTTCCTTGAGCATCTTCTAAAACTGCTAGTTTGTTGACTGCTCTTCTTCCTCTTGTTACAGCGTGGAAGTAGCCAGAATTCTTGTCTCTGAGGGCTAACCATTGAGCTCTGCTACGTTGTCTCCAGAAAGATTCTTCTTTCTAATACGCCTTTTTGAGGTTTGTGTTTATTTCGAGAATTTCACTCTGATCGCCAGAAGTAGAGCTCATCACTAACTCTAGTTTTGCTTTTTCTTCTTGTATTGCTTTCTGAGCATTGAAGTGGTGTTCCCGGTTCCATCTCGAAATTTCTCTTCTACAATAGTTAATACGCTGCTCGACCGAGGCTGTATCAGATGAGTGCCAGGCTTTCTCTACTACTTCTGTGATTTCCGGGTTATCGTTTAAGCTCCTGTCATAGCGAAAGATACCTCTCTTTTTCTTCAGGTTTGTTTCGAGAATGGTGAGAAGAGGGCGATGGTCTGATCCCTCAAAGTCCAGATAGTAGCATCGGCTATATGGATAACAGTCTGACCATGCTCCGTTAGCTAAGGACCGGTCTAAGCGGCAGTGTACTAGGTGAGTGTGACGCATGCCTCTCCAGGATAGAGGGTTGCCTGCGTGTGGAATGTCATAGAGGTCTCCAGTGGACAAGAATGCTCTAAAGTCTCCAAAGGTGCCCTCGGCTCGCATAGGACCTCCAGTCTTCTCGTTGTGGTCCAGAATGTCATTGAAATCACCGGTTAATATCCATGGTAAGTCTCTTAGGGAATTTTTTGCTGTAAGATCTTCCCATACACCTTTTCTCTTTGAAGATCTGGTTCCCCGTAGATGAATATAGAAATGAAGGATTTTCCTTTGTAGGATACTGAGGTTTCGATATAGTTATCGCAGGAGGCCGAGATTGCTAGGTCAAGTTCTTGTTTCCAGTATAGCGCTAGGCCACCTCCACCGGGGCTATGAGGTGGGACCAGGAATCTTGGGCCATATACTCAGATAGAGGTAAATGTTTGGCAATAAATTCTTCAAAGTTTTTTGTCTCCATAAGGTAGATGATATCCGGAGCATGAGTCTTGATTAGCTCCTTCACTCTGTGAACTGTCATAAGGTTCCCCAGCCAACAACAGTTCCAGCTCAACACGGCTAAGGAAGAGGACTTGGAGGGGGTTGAAAATCCGCTCCATCTTTCAGTTTTGCCGGGACTGTCCTTGAACGTGGTGGGAGACTGCTCTGGGGTTGTCCTGAATCCGTACGCCGTCTTCGATCGGGTAAGTTTTGGGACTTGAGTAGTTCTGTTCTGGATTACTCTGGATAGCGGGGATATTCTTAGCAGAGGTGATCTCAACTGGGTCTTTGTTTTACGCTTACTTGTTCCCTCTGCAGGTTGGTTGGTTGAGTTCGGGTTAGCTGCTTTTGATGGGGGTCGACCCCTTCTCTTGGCTGGTGTGGCTAGTGTCAGCCCTTCCTCCGTTTCACCAATGGGATCAGCTCTTCTGTTTGTTCCCCTCTCAGGTGGTTGTAATAAGGATGGAGATTCTTGATGGGCAAGGTTTGTTTCCATTGTTGCCGGAACAAGGTTAGAGGGAGCATTGTAGAGGAAAGCCACCATGTCCGTTAGGAGTCCATTATTATCACTTTCCAAGATCCTTTGTCTTTGTGCCGCGCTTTCTGTCGGATCACCACAATTGATGTATCGGATATCCACATCTTGGAGATCTTGGAGAATCTCGTCTTCTGTTTGAAGTCGCTGTGAAGGTGGGAAGTAGTCATGGTCCAGATTCCTTTCTAATGGAGTGACTCGTCTTGAGTTGGGGGTGAAGTTATCTGCCAAGGTTTCAAGTTGTCTTGGTGTCTTCTCCCTCCAAATTTGAGTTGGTGGTCGTCAAGGGGAGCGGTGAGAATTTCTCTGTCTCGAGTGTGGGGATGTTCGAGAAGGGTAATTGAGGCGGACATTACTTGTAATAGGGGGAGGCTGTCTAGGGTTTTCTCGGCGTTCCAAACGGTACGGCAGAGATAAGTTGGTCCGGTACGAGGTGTGTAGATCCGAGGATCGGCGAGGGGCTCTTAAAGACCGAGAGTGTAGCGGCGATTGGTCTCTGCATGGTCGTTGTGTTGAGATAGCTTCTCGTCGGTGGTGTCTGGTGCTGTGGGGTAGATCTAGGCGGAGATCCTCGGTGTTAGAGAAGAAGGGCGGCTTGAGATGGTTAGGTCTCAAGGGGGGGGGCTGCCTTTCAGTCGAGGGGAGGAGAGTGGAATTAGGGTTTTCTGCGCAGTCATTCTCCTCGTGGGTAAGCTTGAAGCAGTAAAGACAATGTTTGTCCAGTCTATGATATTCCAGGGTAACCAGGGTTTCACTTCCTCCCTCAAACTCGACTATAGCCTCTTTTGTTATCGGCTCAAGACCGTTGACTTCTATTTTGATCTTTGCAGCTGATGAAGTAAGTTTATAGGAGGTGAGGTGTCCTATCTTCTCTCCTATGCTGAGCAAGAGCTCTTGTTTCCAGTAGTGAAGAGGGAGACCTCTTTGGGAGACCTCTTTGGGAGATCCAGAAGGGGATCTGAGAGGGAAAGGTTGGAGAAATTATAGGTTCCCACTTCTCCAAAATGACCATCCACCTCGAGTATTGGTAAGGGCGGTTCTCTAGGACCTTCCTCAGGTCATCTTCGTAGTCAAACCGGAATTGAAAGCAACCGTTACCCAGGTCCGAGCCTTCTGCGGTGCCTCTTAGTTCCCATTTATTTGAGAAGTAAGGTAGCATTGCTCTCATTCTTTGTTCTTGCGGGTTAGTCAGGCGGCCAATGAGAGTAAGAGCGTTCTTTTTGATTAGGTCAGAGGTGTCAAGATTAGGAGCTCATATGCGGAGTCGTGGGGAATGAGCTTCCAAAGCAGCGATTCCTTTGCCCTTTTCAGCATAGGTGAAACGTCGTGCCATTGTGAAGATGAAGGGGGCCTTTAGATCTGAGGATGAGAGGTTTAAGATCTGCGAGAGAGGAGTAGAAGAGCTTACCTGCGGTAGGGAAGGCGGACCCTCCGACTAAGTCGGGGGTGGAACCCGGGTACAGAAAACCAGGAACGGCTAGAATTTGAAAAAACTTGCTAAAGAGGGTAATGTTTGTTGGGTAAAAGGGAGGGATTGCGACAGGTCAACTTGGTTAAGGACCGTTCTCGGGACTAGTGCCTGAAGAGAAAAAAATCCTGCAAATTCGACAAATCATCGTTTAGATGCTTAACACGGTGGATTGATTATTTAATAACTAAAAATAGTTTAATAAACATTTATATATATATTAGAATAATTCACACATATGCCTGGAATAGTCATCATCATGTAGATACAAATCCAACTGTAAATATGAAAAGATAAAAACAAAAGACGTTTGAAACTGACTTGAAAAAAAGGACAAATATAACTTCATGCAGGCCAAAAGGGCCACTCGTTACAAGATGACGAAAGGAAGCAGAAGCCAAGCTTACGACACGCTTCACATAACGCATGAGATATGATGCAGAATATCCGGATTCATAGTAGTTACACTGAAACCTCTCATTTCTCTGTTCTCTCCTCCTAAATTTTATATATAAACTCTTTACAAGTCCCACTTCTGTTCTCTACATCAACTTGAAAATATAAAATAAAATAAAATAAAAAACATGACGGCCATTTCTAGTCTCACCAAGCTCCTAAGCTGCATGCAAGGCCTGGACTATGTGTTACTCGTGATCACTCTGTCCACTCTTTCTTGGTACACTTGGCTTTACATCAAATCCAAACGGCAGTCCCATCCATTGCCGCCGGGACCTTGTGGTCTTCCCGTAGTCGGTAACCTCCCATTTCTCAAACCAGAGCTTCACACTTACTTCCATGGACTAGCTAAAGAGCACGGTCCTATATTCAAACTCTGGCTCGGCGCTAAGCTGGTAATCGTTGTCAACTCCTCTGAGCTGGCCCGGGAGATTCTCAGAACCAATGACGTCATCTTCGCAAACCACGATGTCAGTGCGGTGGGTGTGGTTAACATGTACGGTGGTATTGACATCGCCTTGTTACCGTATGGACCGAAGTGGAGGATGCTGAGGAAGATATGTGTTAATAGACTACTGAGCAACTCCAGGATGGATGCATCTGCTAGCCTACGCCGCGTAGAGACACGACGAACGGTTAGGTATCTGGCGGATCAGGCTCGGGTCGGGTCACCGGTTAACCTAGGAGAAATTTTTTCGCGGATGATATCAAATGTCATGACGCAGATGTTGTGGGGCGGTACAGTTGAAGAAGAAGAGAGGGAGATTATTGGAGCAGAATTTTCAGAATTGGTGACGGAGATAACCGACCTCTTGTTGAAGCCAAATGTCTCCGACTTTTTTCCGGTATTGAGCCGGTTCGATCTTCAGGGTTTAGCTAAGCGTATGCAAGGACCGACTGAGAGGATGGACCGGCTTTTTGACCGGGTGATCAATAAACACCTGGGGATGGATAGAGAAAGTGAAGGCAAGGGTAATGACTTTTTGGAGGTTTTGTTGAAAATCAAAAATGAAAATGATGAGAATGCAATCTTGGACATGAATGATGTCAAGGCAATGCTCATGGTACGTAAACTTTGTCTCTCATGGAGAATATCTATATGTTTTTGTCTTAGTTTTTTTTAAAAAAAAATAAGGATTTAGATTTAGTTTTAGACTGCTTTTTAATAAATATACATTTTTATAATTTTCTTGACATAATGTATATTTTATAGAGGTTTTTGTGTAATAGGAAATCTTACTTCGCCGGAGAGATGGGTGATAACGGGATCCTCCCGGCAACATAATCTCTTTCTCCAATTTGAAGATCCAAAAGAAAGAACGGCGGTGAAGAGACAACATTGTTCGTCGATAAATTGGTTAAATTTTTTTTTTTTTTTTTTTTTTTTTTTTTTTGCCATCAAAATCACCATGGATTATTAGATAGTAACAAACGGAGCTGCCCTAGGGACAGTTTCGCTCGAAAAACAGGAGTTTACATGGGAGAAACAAGAGCCTCGTGTTCGAGCTTCCTTAGCTAAGGAGTCGGCACGGACATTAACAATGCGTGGTATGAAAGTTAAAGAGAATGATAAGAAAGTTAAACGTGTGAAACGAAAATCTTCTAACTCAGAGGCCAAAGATGGCCAATCTTCTTCTTTTTCTTCAACGAGCTTGACTAGCTGCAGGCAGTCGGTTTCAAAAGAAACTGAGACATATCCCAACTGCCTTATTGCTTTCATGGCCCAAATCAAAGAGTGAAACTCTGCATGTAGCGGAGTGAGGACTTGCGTGCTTGCAAACGAACCCGTATCCTCATCGATATCCAGAACGAGACCACCTCCAAAAGTGGGATTGTTATGTACCCATGATGCATCTACCTGGCATCTCGGGTACATTACATTTGAGTTATGTGTAGAAATATTGTCCGTAGGTGGGACTGTGTCAAGGGACCTTGTCACTACTTGCGCTACAAGCCATGAATCCGCTTCGGCGAATGCCATTTGGAGGGATTCATGAGGTGCTACATCTTTACCCTTAAACACTTTTTCATTCCTTGCCTTCCATATAAACCAACAGATCCAAGGCACCCCGAATGCAATGTTCTCTGGTACGCCAGTCTCCTTTAGACGCCATAGTAAGAAGTCGAAGTTGGAGAGGAGTATGTTACACGGCAAGGACCCCGGAGTTGAGTGAATATTTGATAGCAGCCACACTTGTTTTGCTAGTGGACATTCAAAGAGCATGTGGTTTATCGTTTCATCAGCTATCCCACACCTAGGGCACTGTCGATCGTTCCCACAGTGCCGATCCGCAAGGCGACTACACACTGGTGTACTTCCGGCTACCGCATTCCACATGAAGTGTTTTAGTTTCTTTGTTGTTTTTTGAGCCCAAACTTGTCGCTTTAGAGCATCCATATTTGGTTGTATAATTTGCTGTGGGCTCTCCATCATGCAGAGTACTGTAGCAATCATGTAGCCAGATTTAACAGAGTATAACTCCGTTTTTGTATGAATCCACACGTAGCCATCCGGTCTATGCCCCCTACTTGGTTTTAGGCTTCTTACTAAGTCACAGTCCGCCGGGTCTAAAAGCGCTTCCATTCTATCGAGTCGCGCCATTCTTTGGACACGGGATCGAGAAGATGAGACACAAGGAGTAGGGGATCTCTGTATACACCACAATCAATGGGAGGTCTCGGCGGGTTAGCCGGAATCGAGGAGTCTTTCCAGAGGAAGGTGGTATCACCGGAGCCTATCGAGCGACGGTGACCAGTTTTGAGTAGATTTTTCGCGGACATAATGCTGGTCCACCCGTAAGATGGGTTGTTTGATTTCTCTACCTCCAACGGATTAGCATTACGATAGTATCTACTCTTTAAAATTCTCGCCAGTAAGGATGAAGGAAAGTGTATTAACCTCCAAAGTTGTTTTGCCAAAAGCGCGAGGTTAAACTGTTTCAGATCTCGGAAGCCGAGGCCGCCCTTTTCCATGGAGACACAAATTTTCTCCCAGGCTATCCAATAAAGCCCTCTTCCATTCTGCTTGTTACTCCACCAGAAGTTCGATATGGCGCTTTGGAGTTTTTTTTATTACATCTTGCGGGAGTAGAAAGCATGACATGACATAAGTGGGTAAGGCTTGAGCTACTGATTTGATGAGAACTTCTTTACCACCTTTCGATAACAGTTTGGCTGACCAAGAGTTTATTCGCTGGCTTAATCGATCTTGAACAAAGGCAAGAACTTGCTTTTTCGAGCCACATATCTTTTCTGGTAATCCTAAATATGTGCCCATACCCCCTTCTTTTGATATACCCAAAGTATTTTTTAAAGATCTTCGTAGCTCTTGTGGCACCTTGTTCCCGAAAAAGATAGATGACTTTGATGTGTTCAATTGCTGTCCTGAAGCTAGGCCATAACACTTAATGATCTTCATGAGCTCTGCACATTGCAGGACGTCGGCTTTACAGAAGAACAAGCTGTCGTCGGCGAAGAGCAGGTGTGATATCGAGGGGCTTGTTCTCGCGATTTTCAAGCCTGTGATCCTTCCTTCCTCTTCTGCACCTCTTAGCTGGGCAATGAGCACTTCTGTGAGAATGATAAACAAAAAGGGAGAGAGCGGATCACCCTGTCTCAAGCCTCTTGATGGGTTAATACTTCCTTTTGCCTCACCGTTTATCAAAACTTGATAAGATACCGACGAAATGCACGATCTTATCCATGAAATCCAGGTTTCAGCAAAACCGAGTTTAAGCAACAAAGCCTCCAGGAAGTTCCATTCGACGCGGTCATATGCTTTGCTCATATCCGTTTTTATTGCCACAAACTTGGCTTTACACATCGAGTTGGTACGTAGGGCATGGAAAGCTTCCTGAGCTATTAAGATGTTATCGGTAATGAGTCTTCTTGCCACAAAGGCTGATTGTGTTTCAGATATTATTTTTGGAAGACAACGCTTCAGCCGGTTGCTTAATATCTTAGAGATGATCTTATAGCTCACATTACATAAACTGATGGGTCGAAACTCCGTCATATCCCTTGGTCTCTCCGTCTTGGGAATCAGGCAAATATTGGTTTGGTTCAAGCGTGGATCCAACCTATTGGACGAGAAAAATTCCTTGACCATGCAAATGATGTCCCTGGCGGTTGTGTCCCAGAATTGTTGATAAAAACATCCAGTCATCCCGTCCGGTCCTGGGGCTTTTTCGGGATTGATCTCGGAAATAGCTTTCCGGATTTCGTCGTTTGAGGGTTCTCTCGTGAGTGTCGTATTCATTTGTGGTGTAACTTTCACGGTAACATACCGGAGTGCATCAGAAAAATCTACTGGGTTCGATGAGGTGAACAAATTTTGAAAATATGATGTGGCCGTAGCTTCAATGCCATCTCCACTTTCTGCCCATGATCCATCTGCGCGCTTAAGCTTTGTGATTCGATTTCGTGCTCTTCGTTGCTTTGTTGTGGCATGAAAAAATTTGGTATTGCGGTCACCTTCTTTTAGCCAGTTAGCACGACTTTTCTGTTTCCAGAATAATTCCTCTTCCCTAAAATCATTACACAGCTCCCATTTTAGGTGAATGACTTCCTCACTAGGCACATTGTTATCTGTTTGTGCTCTCTCTAACTGTTCCTAGATCGCCTCGATCTTTTTAGCTGAGTTAGACTTGTTGGTCCGCTTCCATATTGAAATAGCTTTACGACATGATTGTATCTTGACGTGCACATCTCCTATGTTTGTCCGTGACGTGGTGTCCCATCCCATCTTCACGGTTTCTTTGAATCCGTCTTTACCAAGCCATCTCCTATCAAATTTAAAGTTTCGTTGTAGCTTGGTGATCTTATTTTGGATTCTGGTCAGGACACGTCGATGATCTAAGCCCCATAATTGCAAGTACTCCACATTGGTGTGGGAGCCTATGGTGCGGTCGAGTCGACACTGAACTTTACCGGAAGAGCGATATCCAACCCAGGAGAGAGGATCCTGCGTAAACTCATCTCAGTAAGGTGATCCCACACTATTCCTCGGCACTCATGGACCGGATCTCCATAAACAAAGGTCATGAAAACACTCTTCCCCTCAATAGCAGCTTCAACATCAATAAGACGATTCGAGGAGGATAGAATATTAACAGAAAGAGAATCAAAATAAAACAGGGCTAGTCCTCCGCTTAGCCCCTCTGATTCCACAGTGGACAAGTTACAACTTGTCATAACCAAAAGAAGTTTGAAAATCTTGCATAAAAGACTGAGTTTTTTTGTTTCAGAAAGAAACAGAAAAGAAGGTCGATATGAGCGGTGCAGCTCTTCTAGGTGGATCTTGGTGAGATAAGCTCCTGCACCTTGACAATTCCAAGAAATTATATTCATATCTTCTCAAGTTGTAAGCTTCGGCACTTTTGGTTTGATGGGACACCAAGACAAAGGTTAACAGCATGTATACTCATCTTATAGCGAAAAAACTGATAACTACACGGAATAGGACGTAGCAGTTACTAGAGACCTTTCTCCTTTTCGATAATCAGAGAGTGGTTCATATCACAATCAGATCTATCACTATTAGACAGCCACCAAAAACACCGAACCACTAGATTACAGATTCACACAATCTCAATAGAGTACAGATCCTTAGCCTCAGGCTAGAGAGGGTCAAAGCGTAGCTTGCGCTATCTTAATATGTGACCAGACCAGAGGGAAAGAGGGATCCTCAAGTATCGTGTTTCTGTAGCGGAGAAGTTTGGCGCCGTCTTGGTATGATGCAAACTAGATACCAGGAAAAAAAAACCCCTTGAAATCGCCTATGACCTAGCCGCTCTCTTGTCTGGAAGCTTGAGGTCTCAGACGGAGGGTCGGAAGAGACGTAGTTTCATCACCGGTGACAGACGTTCAAAAGATCCAAATCACTCCAAAGGCGTGTAGATCACGGTCGTTAAACCCAATCTCAAGAACTTAGCAATATGCTAGAGAGGTCTTCAACAGAAGAGAATACGTATCAGATGATAGATTCACGGCGTATCACGTGCTAGGAGGCTTTAAACAATCGATGGAGAGCCTAGATCTGATCGTCACTTTCCCTGGAGCAGCCTTCGTGGAATGAAAGAGAGAAAGGATTCGGTGCACGTCTACTAGGATTTCGGAATGGAGAGAAGAAAAATGAATCCAGATCTCCGTTTGTGTGTCAGAGATCTAGGTTTCCTTGAGTCGCCGTTGGAGTCGCCTACTCTTCATCGCCGTCCATTTCACATATATTAAATTTTATTTTTATTAAAGTTTAGTTTTAAGAAAAGCTGTGGTGTTTTGAGAGCAGCCGCATCTCAAGGTAAAAAATAAAGAAAAAATTCCTCAATTTATCTATGTGGCACACAAAAAACTGAGAACCGGTCTCTGGCAGAAGGATTTTTGGAACCGTCTCTGTTTACACCACGTGTCGACTCTAGAATGCTTTGCCATAATTTTTCACTCTTTTGTTAATTTGTTTTTCTGATTTCTTCGAAATCGTTTTTTCTGTTCTTCTCCGCCACCGGCGAAAATTCTTGTTCGATCAATTCCTGTCATCTGTCTCTCCGATCTCCTTCATCATCGATCTCGTGATTCTTCTTCTCCTTATTACTCTCCTCTTTTGTTTTTTTTGGTTGTAAATCAATTTTTTTTTCTTCTCTCGCTTCTCAATCTTGGTTCTTCTCCTTTCTCTTCGACCTTCCTTTTGTTTGTGCTGATTATGATTCAGCTGAGTTTGCGATGATTGTGCTGATGATGATTTCGTCGTTGTTGTTGACATCGGAAGCATCTCCTCCCATGCCCTGATTTTGCGGTGTTTGTGGTGGGTTCAAGAATTTTGGTACTTGATGTTTGATTTGGGTGTGGGGATTTCAAGGTCCAGACTTTAAATTTAACTAAAAACTAATCTTTCTCTTTCAGAATCAATTAAGGGTTTGTGAATTGTGGTGATTTGAAAAGAAAAAGACATCGACTTTGAGAAATCCAACCTGTGCAAGAACAAAAGCTAGGGAAGATAGGGAAAGACATTTTGACAATGGATTATTGTTACCCGATCTGCGCAATTCAGGCTTTTGACATTTGATTTTAAAGAATCCGAATATTGGTTGTGCAATGTGAGTATCAGAATTAGAGAAACTGATAACTTAAATTAATAATATAAATAATCTTAAAATATGTTAAAGTGCAATGTGGATGCTCTAAGAAAAACTGATAGGTTAACAAACTGGAGAAAGTTGGCCATAGATATAACTGAAATCTGCGTAAATAGGTCAAATACTGATCGTATTTACGAGATAGAGAAAGGTCAAATACTGATCGTATTTACGAGATAGAGAAAGTATACTAAAATACAGCAATCATTTTTTTTAATACCAAATTGCCCTTTTGTCTTATTCTAATTCTTTTATTTTCTTTTCTCTTGTTGAATCCGCCCTTTTCTCTTTCTCTCTTCCTTTCTCGTTTACTCCGCCTTTTTACCTCCTTCTCTCCTTCGTTCACTCTATTCCTCTTTCCTCCTATTCTCCTTCTCTGTAAACGAAATCTCTCTCTTTCCCTTTTTTCTTTCTCGTTTTTCTTCGTGGAATTAATGGTAGTTGATTCTTGCAGGAGGTGTTGGAGCGCGTGAAGAGGTGAAGAACATTTAACTCGGTTTGTCAGAGATTGGAGATTTTGTTTGTTTCTTCTTTGAATGAGCGGAGATTGTCTCATGCGAGAAATCTGAAACTCTGGTTTGTCTTCACTTTCTGCTATGTTCATCATTCCCGCTAACAATTTTGAATCCACGGATGAAGCAGTAGCTGGTGCTGGTTTCACCGTCAATTTCTTTGGCTCAGGCACCGACGCCTCAGTTGTTCTGGTTCTGTCCAGTTTGTTATTTCTGTGTACTTTTTCTTCTGCTCCAACATCAATTGGTATATCATTATTTTTAACATTGTACCTTGTTGTTTATACATGCTTCATTTTGTAATATATGTCTACTTTTGTCAGTAGTTCTGTACTAAGTCTCTGATTAGTTACATAAACAAATTTACAATCTCTACCACCAATATAACATGCCACCAACCAAAACAATTCATAAATGCGTTTCCGGGAATATTTGAAAAAAAATCACAAAATAATCCTGTCATTTTTTTTTTAAAACTTCTCATCGTAAACGCGCACAAACACCAAATATCCTAAGATCAAAGTACCTTTGGGGAATCATAGAGCTGACAGGATTGAGTGACGCACACATAAACCTTCATATTTAAATATTACTACGTCTTTGGAGGCACATGCACTATGGGAATCGTTAGCTGTACTAGAATTATAAACTATAATATGCCAGCTAAAACGTTGTGATTCTATTTAAAAATTATAAAATACAAAGTAGTGAAACAAGATCATATGCTCAAATGACACCGAAGGTCACCAAACATTTAACAAAGACTGAACATAAGAAATGGAAAATATAATAATCTCTCTCTGCTTAGCAGCCATCTTGGCTTTTCTCTTCCTAAAACCACTCCTCAAACGAACAACCGCCACCAGACTTAACCTGCCACCATCTCCATGGCGACTTCCGGTGATCGGAAACCTCCACCAGCTCAGCCTCCACCCGCACCGCTCACTCGGTGCCCTCAGCCTTCGCTATGGCCCGCTTATGCTCCTTCACTTCGGCCGTGTCCCTGTTCTCGTGGTCTCATCCGCTGATGTAGCTCACGACGTCATGAAAACACATGATCTTAAGTTTGCTAATCGCCCAAAAACGAAAGCAGTCAATATATTTACGAACGGCGGGCGAGATGTGGCTTTTGCTTCCTACGGCGTATACTGGAGACAGATGAAGGTATGGTTTCGTTTGATTTTATTGTTACTATTATCCTGAATCTTCTGCATATCAATAGAGAGTACGAGGTATTTGATCTAATTATGAAATGAATGTAACATAAAATAATTTTATGTTATAAAAAATATTATTAATTAACTGATCAAACATAATTTATAAATTTTTGATCTAGTTCAGTATACTTATTTTAGTATTTATGATCAATTTAAAATAACTAAAATATTCTTTCAGTCTTTAGTTAGAAATATTTTTCTTTTTCAGTCGGATTAATAGATTTGGTTATAATTAAAAAACAATTAATTAGAAACTGCTGAGAAAAACTGTGGGGAGAACATCTGATGATGAGATTCTCATCAAAAGTGGCTTTCAATGTTTGCACTTTAACATAGAGTATATTTTAACAAGCTTCTCAAAAATATCTTCTCAAATATAATCTATAGGGGCATTCTGTACAAACAAGTAACGAGTTAATGTGAGAGATAAAAATTCACATTTTTACACTAACTTATGATTTACTTTTTCGCTTACTACTTTATATTTTTATTTAATTGATATGATGCATCGAAATTTGCTTTGGATGAAGAGTGTATGCACCGTGCATCTCCTCAGCAAGAAAATGGTCAAGTCCTATGAGAAAGTAAGAGAAGAAGAGATTAAGGAGATGATGGACAAGGTTGAGAAAGGGAGTTCTTCTTCTTTGTCGGTAAATCTAAGTGAGATCATCGTTGATATGACTAACAATGTGATATGTAGAATCGCCATAGGAAGAAAATATAGCGGCGAGGGAAACACTTGGGATTTTGAAAAACATCTGAGAAAAGTCATGGAATATTTGGGTGCATTTCCGGTCGGGGATTACATACCGAGTTTGGCATGGATTGACAAAATCCGCAGTGTGGATCGTAATATGGAAGAAGTAAACAAAGCGTTCGTGGAGTTTCTAGACAGAGTGATCCAAGAACATGTAGATGAAGGTAAGAATAAAGAGACACTGGATATTGTTGATATGTTGTTACGAATTCAAAGAGAGAAGACAAATGGATTGGAGCTTGATAGAAGCGACATCAGAGCAGTCATTTTGGTAAGTAAGACAAACCATCTTTTACTTAACAACACAGTTCTTATAATAGAAATACTCCATCTATTTTTTAAAAGAATATTTTTTTAGAGTTTTCATACATATTAAGAAAATATATTAAAACTAGACTATAAATGCATCATTTTCTGTGATTAACAATTTTCAATAATGTTTTACCAATCACAGTTCAATAATTTCAATTAGTTTACTTGAAATTTACAGTTAATCATAACTCTCTCTTTTCTCTGTCCCAATATTTAACCAGTTTAAAAACAAAATGTTTCAATATATAAGCAGTTTTCAGATTATTTATTAAGAAATGCATTGAAAACTAAGAAAATTCATCTTTAGAAAAAAAAAAGGAAAGTGTAATTTTAGAAACAGACGCAGTATAAGATAAGACACTAACCATTATTCATATATAATGTTACTATTAAATACGAAATTTTGTGCTTGTTTTATATAGGATATTTTTGCAGCAGGAACATCAACAACTTTCACAGCCATCGATTGGGTAATGGCACTTCTTATAAGACATCCAAATTGTATGAAAAATCTTCAAGACGAGATCAGAACATATTCGAGACATAAGTTATATACTTCAGAAGAAGAAGTTGACAATATGGAATACCTAAAAGCTGTGGTTAAAGAAGCTCTTCGACTACATCCCCCAATCCCAATGTTGGTTCCAAGACAACTAAGTGAAGATGTCAAACTGAAGGGATATGACATTGCAGCTGGTACACAGGTAAACAATTAGACAACAAAACAAAGCATACAAAATTTTATCAAAGGAAATTTTAGAGAAAATGTATATATATATCATTGAGTATACGTGGATGAACAGGTAATCATTAATGCATGGCCGATCCATAGAGACACCACAACATGGGGACCAGATGCAGAAGAATTTAAGCCAGAGAGACATTTGGATCTACCTTTGGATTTCCAAGGACAAGATTTCAAATACATTCCATTCGGATCAGGAAGAAGGCTCTGTCCAGGAATAGAACTTGCATCCACGTTGATTGAGGTGACATTGGCCAACCTTGTGAACCAGTTTAACTGGAGAGTCGAGACTAGGCCATCAGGAGATGATGATGAGTACTATCTAGCTGAAACAACTGGTATTGAAGTTTCTCGTAAGTTCCCTTTGATTGCCTTCCCATCTTTATCCTAATACGCCGGAAATCATAATTATCTTTATGGAATATGATAATCATTGGATGTCATATTGTTGGTATGATCTCTATTTTTCCTGTAAACTTGTTTTTTCAGACTATTGCTTGTTTTTGTGCGTGAAACAGACCTTTGAATCAATAAGACTCCGATACCATTTTAGACGCCATACTTTTTTGTTTTATTGTTTTTGTTTTAATGTTAAGATTAGACGCCATACTTACTTCTTATTCGGTACATAAACAGAATGATGGTTGCAAAAGAATAGATAAATGGGAACTACTTTAGGTTGTAATCATAAATTCATAATAGATTTGTTTGTGAATAACTTGGACGAACGAGTAAATCTGAAACTTTTGTTCTTCATTAAGATCGACAACTCTTTTTTATCAAAAAGATCGACAACACTCAAATCTAATATTTATCTTACTTGCATATAGAGATGTCAAACGGGCCAATCCGCACCCAAACGGGTCAACCCGCCGCGGTTTCACTTTGTCGGCGGATCAGGCGGGTCGGACCGCTGTGGGCCGCAGTCTCCAAAAGCTCGGCCCTAACCCGCACCGCTTGGTATTGGCCGTTATGCGGGTCAGCCCGGAGGCTTAACTGTTTCATGCTTAAGTTGATTCACCAATCAGTTTGTCTGTGATAATTTTGGTGCCTTGGGATGCTGTAATCCGCAAAGATCTTTCAACTGATGCAACCGTGACATCTACTTTGGCTCGTCTAAGAACATCTGCTATTTATGACCACGTCAACCTTTTAGAGCCGTTGGCTACCGGGATTAGAACCTGGATTTTAGTTGCATCATTAAAACCATTTCCACAAATACTACTAGAATCAGCCAACTAAATGAGAATCAGCTTTCAAATTAAAAACGAGCATGAAGAAGAAACAAAATCAGTTATCATCACATCCTCATGAGATTACATGAAAATGTAATAGCTTCATTGAGCTTCATGCGACTTACACGAGGTGTATGGTTAGAGACCAGTCCATGCTATAGAACTCCTCCCTCTTAAACTTGTGCTACAAAACTTGGAATAGCCTTTGAATCCAAGTCCTTGATGTAAGATTTCAGAGCTTTCATTGTTGTTTTACGGCTCTCTGTGTCTTTGTCCAGATTAGCCAGTTCTTGTCGCAAAATTGGGTTGAGATTCAGACCCATTACTTTAACTGCAATCTGCAAACACACAAGACAAAAAATCACGGCAACCACATAAGATTTCATCTTAAAGTCATACACTTTTTCAACCTATATTATCAAAATCTCATATCCTTGCAACCAGAAATTAGACAAGTGCAAGAGAGATAGCAAAAATACAGACACAAGAACATAAGTTTTGTTCTTAAAATCATGAACTTTAGCTAGATTTTTTATTTTTCACAAATCTCATCCCCTAGAACCAAACAGTGGACTCAAACCAGAAATGTGAAGACCATATACGAGGCAATTGAGAAACATACAAGCTAAATCGAAGAAATCAGACAAACTCAAAAATTACAGAAGACAAAACTGTGAATGTCGGAGAAACAGATCCGTACGGCCGTACCTGTTGCTACCACTGGAGAAATCAGCTCTCGGAATCCCTCCGGAAAACAAACAAGGTCTCGCCTTGTCAATCATATACAAATCATGGCTGAATCGACAGTGTCGAGGAAGGAGTCTTCTGTGGAGATGTCGGTTTGGCTCCGTCGATCGACGAAGAGAATACCGTCAAGCGGAGTGAAAATCGTCAATCGGGAAGTTGGATGGAGCTCCTTAGCGGACTGAATGAAGATCAAAGACGCCAAGTAGAAACAAAATGATAATGTGCTGCAGAAAACAAAGCTCCAACTAGATTCTAGAGATGTCATCTTGGATCTGCATGCGGAAATCGGAAGTCGGAACTCGGAAGAGAAAGTCTTTTTTGCGGTGACCCGGAAACCCGCCCGCCCGCCACGGATATATCCGCATAAACCGCAAGCCGAAATCAGGTTGGACCGCGAGGCCCGCTAATTTTCGGGTTTAGAAATGCCGACCCGAACCTGCCCTGTAGTAAGCCTAAACGGGCCTAACCCGATTGACAGTTATACCTAAATAAACTATCCACATAACAGTTTTGATTTGTAATGGATGAAACAAAAAGCATCCATATATGTGTACATTTTAAGTTTAGGATGAAGGGAAGCCAAATGGAAAACCATATTCTCCTATGTTATATAAAAATATCCACGCTTAAACTATCCAAGTGTGTTATTATAAAAGGCAGTCATAGCATGAGTATCCATATAGTTTTATTTTTGTCAAGCTGAGTATCCATATAGTTATGTATTGATGTTTAAGGTTAAGTGGAGGAAAATTGAGAATGATATTCGTTCAGTACAAAATTATCTGCAAGCTAGTTATTCAAAATTTCAAAGTGAGGTTGTGCATAATAAAAATATCCAAAATAAAATATTTAAAACAGCTCAAAGTGTCCAAGCGTGTTAGCATAAAAGTATCCACAACGAAAACATCCAAACAGGCATATAAAAGCATCCAAGTGCGGATACTTTAACTGCGAACGCTTGATTATGGATGGTTTCAAAAATTAAGAGAAAGATAGGAAAAAGGGTAACACTGTAAACTCACTTTGTGAAAGTCTACCACTTTCACAAAGTCACTCAAAGTGTAAAGCCAAACTCAAAAAAGTCCATCTAAGTGTAATTTTCTCGTCTGAATAGTAAACACTTTAAAGTAAATTGGTGGGAAACATAGTGGAGTAAAAGTGGAGTAATTTTTTTTTGTCACATGTTATTTTTTTTTTCTAGTGAGAATCTTTTCACCACTTAAAAGTGGAGTAAAAACTTTACTCCATAAAAAAAACAGTGTTCTCTTTCTATGTTTTGGTGGGTCCAAACAAAAAACATTTTTCACCTATTTACTCTAAAATGCATCCATTCATAGCCTATATAAAGTATAAGGGATATTTGCACCCAAAAAAAGTATAATGGATATATATTTTACATGATTATGTTCACTTACCAAAATAAGTATGAATATTTAATAACTAAAACTATATTAATAAACATTAATATATATATATATTAGAATAATTCACACATATGCCTGGAATAGTCATCATCATGTAGATACAAATCCAACTGTAAATATGAAAAGATAAAAACAAAAGACGTTTGAAACTGACTTGAAAAAAAGGACAAATATAACTTCATGCAGGCCAAAAGGGCCACTCGTTACAAGATGACGAAAGGAAGCAGAAGCCAAGCTTACGACACGCTTCACATAACGCATGAGATATGATGCAGAATATCCGGATTCATAGTAGTTACACTGAAACCTCTCATTTCTCTGTTCTCTCCTCCTAAATTTTATATATAAACTCTTTACAAGTCCCACTTCTGTTCTCTACATCAACTTGAAAATATAAAATAAAATAAAATAAAAAACATGACGGCCATTTCTAGTCTCACCAAGCTCCTAAGCTGCATGCAAGGCCTGGACTATGTGTTACTCGTGATCACTCTGTCCACTCTTTCTTGGTACACTTGGCTTTACATCAAATCCAAACGGCAGTCCCATCCATTGCCGCCGGGACCTTGTGGTCTTCCCGTAGTCGGTAACCTCCCATTTCTCAAACCAGAGCTTCACACTTACTTCCATGGACTAGCTAAAGAGCACGGTCCTATATTCAAACTCTGGCTCGGCGCTAAGCTGGTAATCGTTGTCAACTCCTCTGAGCTGGCCCGGGAGATTCTCAAAACCAATGACGTCATCTTCGCAAACCACGATGTCAGTGCGGTGGGTGTGGTTAACATGTACGGTGGTATTGACATCGCCTTGTTACCGTATGGACCGAAGTGGAGGATGCTGAGGAAGATATGTGTTAATAGACTACTGAGCAACTCCAGGATGGATGCATCTGCTAGCCTACGCCGCGTAGAGACACGACGAACGGTTAGGTATCTGGCGGATCAGGCTCGGGTCGGGTCACCGGTTAACCTAGGAGAAATTTTTTCGCGGATGATATCAAATGTCATGACGCAGATGTTGTGGGGCGGTACAGTTGAAGAAGAAGAGAGGGAGATTATTGGAGCAGAATTTTCAGAATTGGTGACGGAGATAACCGACCTCTTGTTGAAGCCAAATGTCTCCGACTTTTTTCCGGTATTGAGCCGGTTCGATCTTCAGGGTTTAGCTAAGCGTATGCAAGGACCGACTGAGAGGATGGACCGGCTTTTTGACCGGGTGATCAATAAACACCTGGGGATGGATAGAGAAAGTGAAGGCAAGGGTAATGACTTTTTGGAGGTTTTGTTGAAAATCAAAAATGAAAATGATGAGAATGCAATCTTGGACATGAATGATGTCAAGGCAATGCTCATGGTACGTAAACTTTGTCTCTCATGGAGAATATCTATATGTTTTTGTCTTAGTTTTTTTTAAAAAAAAATAAGGATTTAGATTTAGTTTTAGACTGCTTTTTAATAAATATACATTTTTATAATTTTCTTGACATAATTTAGGAGATGGTGCTCGCTGGTACAGACTCATCACTACATGTCATACAGTTCGCGATGGCCGAGCTAATAAAAAATCAGGATATCATGAAGATAGCTCAACAAGAGATTGACGACGTTGTGGGCAAACACAAAGTAGTGGAAGAATCTCACATCCCTAAGCTTCCATACATCCTCGCCATCATGAAAGAAACTCTGAGGCTACACACGGTTTCTCCACTCCTCCTTCCTCACCGCCCGTCTCAAACCACGGTGGTGGGCGGCTTCACCATCCCTAAGGACTCGAATGTTTTCATCAACGCGTGGGCAATCCATAGGAATCCAGATGTGTGGGAGAACCCACAGGAGTTTAACCCCGACCGGTTTCTTCATAAATCTTATGATTTCAAAGGAAATGATTTCACTTATTTACCTTTTGGCTCTGGTCGGAGAATATGTGCGGGAACGGCGATGAGCGAGAGGGCTGTCCTTTATAATATCGCTACGCTTTTGCATTCCTTTGATTGGGAACTTCCTAATGGAGAGAGAGTTGATATCGAGGAAAAGTTTGGGATCGCGTTGAAGATGAAGAATCCACTTGTGGCAACGCCCGTGCTAAGGTTATCGGATCCAAATCTTTATCTCTAGAAAGAATATGTGATGTATGCATTAAGAAAGCCGACCATGTTCTATGCCTCTATGGCTTTCATGACAATGTTTGTTTAAGTTATATCTTTAAGTTTTAGCATCTTTTCAGTTTTCCCTATATTTGGCTTTATTTCCCTTTACAACTTGAAAATGTTGTTAGATAATACATAAGAAAAATAAAATAAAAATCTTGGTTGATTCTAAGTTTCTAACACATTTTTTGTTAATCTTAATTGCCAACGTATTTTTATGACTCGTGTAATTGACTCACTGTCAAAACTGTTGTCTAGTGAATCATCCGTCGACGGTTACATATGTTGCATTACTCCTATTATTATATTAACTGATTTTGTCTGCTTTAAACTACGACAAAATCTGTTGAGCAAGAAAAAACCAAACCAATCTTTTGACCATCATGCATATATATATAGTACAAAAGTTTCATTGAAAACGCCTTATGTGTTGCGTTGAAAGCATTTTCCTAAGGAAAAGTTTCGACTAGCTGATTATAAAAGTAAAATGTACTGTTTTTTTTTTTTTTTTTTTGTTAAAGGGCTTTCTTGCATTTATATTAGACTAAAAGACTACAGAGTAGTAATAAACATGTTACAACCAGGAACAAAAAGGGAAGAAAAAAAACAACCAAAAAGGGAAGAAAATATCAACCAAAACCAGTGGAATGTGTCTAGTGCTGGAGCATTGAGTCTCCATGAGAAGAACCGAACATCGACATAGCCCGGCATTTATCTCTAACGGAACTGAGAATAAGACTGAAAATTTTCCCATAAGGGAAAGTAACTCCATCATGGAGTCTATTTCTTTCTTTCCATAACTCGTAAACCGCTCCTTGCCAGTCTTGAAGAAGAGCAAGCTTCTTCGTGGTATCAAGAGAAGCAGAAGTAAGCCAATCTAGTAATTGAGCCCAATGACCAGGCACGTTATGGAGATTCAGACAGAACATGAGCCTTCTCCATACTGAAGCCGAGAAGGAACATTCAAAAAACAAATGATCTCTAGTCTCCAACTCGATACCGCAAAGCAAGCAGGTTCCGTCCGAATCATAACCCCATGCAGACATACGATCCAAAGTGGGACTCCTATTTAGAAGAAACAACCAAGTAATAGTCTGATGACGAGGCAGACCAGCTTTGTGCCATAGCAAAGGAGCCCAATTCACCTCCGGTTTTTTGGGACGAATCTCATTCCAGACCGCCTTGAGAGAGAAAGACCTTTGCGGGGATCCACTAATAGACCAGATATGCGTATCCGCAGAAGGAGAACAGCCATAAGAAAGAAGATAAGAATATAGTAAGACTTGTCGTTCAGAGCGAGCATGAGGTAAAGTCCATCCCGAGCCATTCCAAATATCTGAAACCGTTGCAGAAGTCGGAATGCCTAATCTTGATGGCCCATCTTCACCTAAGAAAGCATGGAGAGGACCAAATGGTGTCCAAGGATCCCACCAGAAGAAAGTGGAATCCCCACGACCAACTCTGACTTTAAGAAACTGAAGGGCTTTTTGACGGAGTTTCAACATCTTTCTGAACATCCATGAGAAGGAAGGATTCCTATCATTGAGAGCCCAGAAAGAAGACTTGGAAAGATACCTTCGTCAAATCCAAGCTACCCAGATAGAACCGGCTATAAAGAAAAGCAGCCATATCAGTTTCAAAATGTACTGTTATAGTAAGACAAAGTATGTTAGTCACTTAATCTAGTGTTATATAAAATGTACTGAAAACACAACTGGTCATTATAATTTCCTTTTTTTTAATCTGCAGAGATTAATCTTTAATTTGGAACCATATCATCTGAGTTTGAGAAGATAATCAAAACAAAAATAACATAATTGAATCTTGATATATATATATATATATATATCTTACGTATCTTCCGGTTAACTACGACGCATAAAATCTTGAATTATGAGCCATACTGATTGAAATTTCATTGTACAAACTTGCTTACGTGTTTCAAGGAAGATTAAGTAAATGGGGCGAACATAATTATTTGTTTGGAACCTACAAAATAATTTTCTTCTCTTTAGTTTTCTTATTTAATCAAACTATAATTAAATAACGTAGTGTAACCCATGTTGTTGTGATATGGAGTTTTAATGCTTTGTCCTTAGATATTGAGGGTAGGATGTCTGTCTTCAGAAAACAGTTTAATTAAGCCAAATAAAATAATCTACCAGTCAGTCTAATTTCTTTCAAACAGCAAAGCATGGGGACATTTCATTCCTTAATTTTGTGTTATACAATGTATTAATATTTATTTATGTTCTTAAATAAAGCACGAAGTTTAAATAACACCCGATATAAGTTGACAAAGAAGCTAATAAATTAACAAAAAAAATATGTCTACTTAACTTAGAAATAAAACAATTATGATTTAAAGTGTAAACAGACTAATAGACCTTTAATTTGAGATCAGAGGAGTACATTGCTGTACCCTGACAGATCAAAATGGCTGGTATATATAGATTAGCCAACTGTAATTGTAATATTAGCTGGTATATACATACCCTTCTTATCCTTTTTCCCAGTTTCCTTTGGCCGTTATTATTATTTTATCTCTAACCCTGAACCGGTGTTTGAAGAAAACCGGAAACTCAAATTGACAATCATACGAAAGTTCCGTTTACGAGCTTGCAAAATACAAATCAGTCATAAACTTTGGAAGATGATGAAAAAAGCGAAAGAAGAGAAGATAAAACAAAAACATGTATTGAATTATTTATTCGAATTTCATGTAACCCGTTCCGGTTTACTATTGTGAACCGAACATGTCTACCAGCAAACGGTATCGGTTCTGCGCCAACGGAAAAAAAGTAGACAGCGATGCAAAAAAAAAAAGAGGGGTAGTTGCGTAATTTAGATGAAAAGCAAAGATCGATTAGAAGATAATCCCTTCTATAATAGGATGGGGGGGGGGGGGGTTCTTAAAAAATCAGAGAGAAAAAAAACTAATCAGTTGGAGGATTAAGAAGAGCCTCAAGAATTCATCATCTCAAGTAAGTTTCATCAAGAACACAAATATTTACAAATTCATAGATGTTCATATATAGGTCCATGTTCGTTTTCAATCGTTTAGACGTAATATATGCGTTTTTCTTTTCTTTTTCAATCTACTCATCGTTATTTGGTTTGTTTGAATTTTTTTTTGGCAATCTATACTTGTACTGCATAAACCAAATGTTCTTACATTGTATGAATTACAAAGGTTTATGCATATGAACCAGATGATCTTGTCTCGTTCTTAATCGTGTAAAAACGTTAAAGATTTTTTGTTTGTTTTCGTCGTGTTCATGTAAGCTAATAATTATTTTTTGTTTGCAGGAAAAACATTGAAATAAAAGACATGGGGTACTGGAAATCGAAGGTTGTTCCAACAATGAAGAAATTGTTCGACAGGAGTCCAACAACAAAGAAGGCTGTTGTTGTTGAGGAGGCTAGCAAATCATTAGCCTTTGATGAATCTAAGGTATTTCATCTATAAATTATGAATCCATAATAATTATGTAGTATGTAATTATTTCGACTCTTAATTTAACCTGTTTCATGCATTAATAGGAAGCAATCAACAAGGAGATTGAGGAGAAAAGGACAGAACTGAGTCCCAAGGTCGTGGAAATCTATGAAGCCACATCTGCTGAACTCAAGGTGCTTATTCAATAATTTTATGTTCAATTACTTTTACAAATTCAAAAATCAAACACAAGTGATTTTTAATTTATACGTTTCTTTTAATATATATATATATATATATATATATATATATATATATATATATAAATGTAGGCTTTGGTCAAGGAGCCTACGGAGGATGGTTTAACGAAACTCGCTGAGGAAGTGCAAAAATTCCTCGAGGCACTTGTCGAAATCGGTACGTTTAATTTAGCTAGTTAACGGATTAGCAATGAATTTACGACACAATATAATTGTAGGATCATTAGGATTTAGGACCGTCTGTTTTTTAATGGAGTATTCAGTTTTATTCTATCCATGCATCATCAACATGCTAATTATGATCCACAGTATTTTTAGAGTAACAAAATATCTGGATTCAATCCGGATTAGTAAAAGTTTGAATAGCGATTTTAGATACCCTAATTATATACCGGAATTATCTTGAATTTTGATTGTATAATTTGGATAATATAACATGAATACGTTGTGTATGAAAATAGTTAATATATAGTATATAATTAATATAGAAGATGAGTTATTGATCTTTCGATATGGTTTGTGAAATTCAGGATTCCCCGGATCAAAGGCGGTGTGTGAAACTCCATCTAGTTTGGGACCAGTAACATTCATATTTGAGAAAGTATGTTTGTTCCTCCCGGCGGAGGAGAAGGCACGAGAGGTGGAAATTGTGGAGGAAAAAGAAACCAAACCGGAGGAGAAGTCACGAGAGATTGAAATAGTCGAAGAGAAGAAAGAAGAGGTTGTTAAACCAGCCGAGGTTCCAGTCCCCGTGGCTGCGGAGGAGAAGAAGCCAGCCGTGGAAGAAGAGAAAAAGGTGGCAGTGGAAGAGAAGAAGCCAGCCGTGGAAGAGAAGAAACCAGCCGTGGAGGAAGTGAAAAAAGAAGTTGTGGCTGTGGCGCCAGTGGATGCAGCACCAGCGACCAAGGCCCCGGAAACTCCTGTGGTTGAGACTCCAGCCAAGGCTCCGGCAACCCCAGCGGCTGAGCCACAAAAGGCTTGAATTTTCTTCATGGTACATTTTTCTAAGAAAATATTGTTTGTCTTGGTGTGGATAATTTATTTTGTTTGTTTAATTTTGTTATTATCCATGTGAATTTTCTATACATTAATTTGCTTGTTTGAGTTATATATATATTTTATGATCCAAGCCTTATATTATTTCTTCCAATATTTCATCTACTTTTACTGATCTTTAGTTTCACAATCTAAATTCGATTTCTATTTTATATTCTTTTTTTAGTATTCAGTGTTCAATTTTATGTATTGTTGTAACCATGAATCTGTGTTAAGGAACGAGTTTGGTCCTTTGAGGCTTTGACTCAGACACATTAGGCAGAATATTATAGCGTTTAAGAAGAACAACAACAACAAATTGTAAACTCAGCCACATCTCTTGCTGAATTAACTATTTTAATATTTGCTATTTTAGGTGACTTGAATTTGATAAATATATTGTAGCTGAGGCTTTCTCAAGCAAAACATAATGAATGCCATGGCCGGTACGCATTAATTATCGAATTGTAGGATTTATTATTATAATCATAAGTATCATACAGTAAATGATTATTATCATTAGGATCGATCATAATCATTATTCATACGGTAAATGATAAAGAAATCCGAAATTAACAGTTTTAGTTTCTTCTAATTCTTTTATTCGCAAGTTCTGAACACTATACAATATAAATTCTCTTCTATAATTTCGAGAAGTGGCAGCAAACATGGCATCTTTCTTCATTATTTGTTAATTGTGACATTAATGTAACATACGTGCAAGCAAGAAATATAAAGAAGCTAAAGATCAGGACGCACATATGACATATTTTTTTGTTTGTTAAAGGGCCTCACATATGACATATGTATGTACATGTAAACATTTTTATTTTATTTTAATCAAATGACGTGGTACGCAACTCTTCTTTTTCATTGGAATTTTCGTTTTAGTGGCGTAATTTTCCGCTAAAAGATTATAAGGAAATATATAATACTTTTCGATATCGTCTGATTAAATCTTATCTTAAGTTGTCTTGAATGGATATCTAGATGATCTATTCTAACTAATTGTACATGTACAGTATTTATGGTTTCCATCTCATGGTTTTGACTATTGATCAATGCAATCCATTTTCATTCAATAGAACAGGTTAAACCGAGATCAGATGTAATGCGCACATAAACACAAATTAGCAAGGGTTAATCACACAGACCTCGAAGGTCAAAGCATATATATATCTACACTAAGAAATTAGCAAGATGTGGAAAAACCAACCAAGTTGGTATTGGACTTGTGGCGTATTTCTTAAACCTTTCAAAAATTGTGAAACGTTAAAATCTTTATTATTATATTATTAATTGAGAAGTACATTCTAATGTTTGGATATAAGAATTAGATAAACTTCTATTTGGATAGAAGAATAAATGGAAAACAAAAGTTGTTTGGATATAAGAATAAGAGAAAAATCTATTTGATAGAAGAATAAATGGAAAAAATTGTTTGGATACAAGAATAATAACTTAAAACAAACCGATGGTTTAGAAAACTTCCGTTTTCCAGCTCTTAAATCTGCAAAAAAAGAAAAATTAACATAAACTATCAATAATACCAAATCAATAGAATATGATCGAATGATATTTGCAAAATTTCCAATAGTGAAATAGAAATACGTCTAATTTAAATCAAATTGTGGATTTATGTTCGGGTTTTTTTGAAAATTTATGTTCGGTTTGGGTTCGAGTTTTTTTTTGGTTTAATTCAGGGTTTTCGGGTTTAGACATATTAAAAAATGGGTATTTTAAAATTTTTATTAGGGTTTTTAGGTCGGGTTCGGGTGAAAACGTTTTGAGTTGTTTTTTATTCGGTTCAGGGTTTTCGGGATTTTTTGGATTTCGGATTTTCGGGTTTAGACATATTAAAAAGGTTTGGGTTTTTTTAAATTTTGAATAGGTTTTTGGGTCGGCTCGAGTTTAAGATTTAGATTTTCTTCACAAAACCGCAACGTTACACCGCGCGTTTGTGCGGGTTCTCTACTAGTTTTCCTTTTACTTAACATGTAGACTGAAGATAGATATTTTTTTAAGAAGAAATGCAGAGGTTTTAAGTTTTAATCCAAAACTCCAAGACAAGTTTTCGTGTTGCTGGTCATTAAACTTAATGCAATAATGCCACCGCTCATGGTATAGTGATCATTTAAAATTGGCTCATGGTTTTATGTGATTGTTGGAGGGTTATACATATTTGAATCTTGTGATCAATTTTTATTTTATTTTTAAGACAAGACACAGAGTGTACGTACCTTTGGATGTAGTCCTTGTCATATCATATAGAGTCTTCTTATTACTAATGAATCCATTTTTGCACTCAACAATAATTTGTGAAAAAGTAGCAAGATTACGTGGGTTTTAATGGGCTAAGGAGTGGGCCGACTAACAAATCAGTTACGTAAATAAGAAAAAGTTGGGTCAGAAATCGAAGACTTGAGAAAAGTTCAAGGAGCTAAAACTCCTAACAAAGAAAGGCTTCGACGTTGTATACTTCAAAGTAAGTAAAACGGAATAAAATGGTGTATTTTGGTGGTACAAAATTCAAAGCTTTATACTGTATGAAGGGATAAGACAATCAAAATAACATATACAGTATAATTTTTACCTTTTTGGTCAAAATATGTTTTATTTTTTTAAATTAATAAAAGGGAATTTGGTCTAAATTTGGTTCAATTAAAAATAATAATAATTTAAAATATGTTTCAGTAATGGCAGATTTTCTGATTCCGATCTGCGATTAATATTTAATATTTTTAAACAGAAAGATATTTGGTCTAAATTTTAGTTTAATACTTTAAATTTTACGGATCTCTTCATATCAGCAGATCTTTAATAAAGTACAGTTATGTTCTATTATTTACCTCTAAAATGTTTTACCAACTGAAATCATTTTTTTTGTTCACTCAGCACATGAATGGAAATGCAATTGGGTTCAGTGGGCCTTGGGGGGCCGAAATAAAAACAGTCATCTGAATAATACACTGTGTCCTAAACCAAAGCGTAGGAAAATCCAAGGACTTAAGAAGAAATAATTAAACTTTAATCGACAAAATAATAAAATAAAAAGAAATCGCCACAATAACGCACCCACTATTTCTCCTTCCGTTCCCCTTCTTCTTCCTCCTCACTGTAAAACGCAGACAGAGCCTCCATTTTCTCTTCTCCCTCTTTTCTCTACACAGATTCTTCTTCATAGCCTTTTTTGGTTTTCTCTCTCCTTTTTTCTCTTCTTCTCTGCTGATTGTTACGAGAAAAAGAAGAAGACGAAAAACGACGGAAGAGTTTCCTCTGTTCTTCCTCGTTATATCGGCGAAACATCAATGGATGAGAAGAACTGAACGAATCTCAAACATAGTCGCAGATCGGAATCAGAAAATCCACCATTACTGAAACTCGAATCGGATTTTTCTTCCTCTTGGGTATAAATAATAATGATGAGGTCCCTCTCTTTCTTCTCCGATTGGCCTTTCTCTGTTTTCTTCTCTCTTCTTCTGATCAATCGGATTTTGGTGATTCCTTGTTTTTGTTGTTTTTTCGGAGTTTGCACTTTCGTATTGGGTTTTATGGGATCTTGATATTGATTCGGAAAATCCAGGTTCATGGTTTTTGTAAACAATTGAAATCAAAATTTTGATCTCCACTTTTGGTTTTTTTTTTGTGATCACTCTTTGTGATTCTTCATCTGAAAGAGAAAATAGTTTTTGTCACCATACTCAGATTCAAAGATCTTAAATCACACAACCTTAGACGAAAATTTCACTTTGAAAAACCTCTACAAACACACAAGCATTTCTCCAATTTTTTATAGATTTGATTGATCTGATTGTTTGTTTCTACCAATTTTGTTTGTTCACAGGTATCAGAGAGTAAGCCCAGATTATCTTCCTCTTGCAAATACCAAAAAGCCCTACTTAAGACCTTCACCTTCTAGATCCAACGAAAACGGAAGATCAACCGCAAACGCAACCGCAACCACCGCCGGAGGAGGAAGATTCAACGGAACGAGCACCAGCATCAGCAATTCGAATCTCGACGGAGTTCCCAAAGGATTCCGATTCAGATCCAGTCCGATTACCACGACCACAATACAGCAACAACAAGATCTCCCTCACGACTCCACCGCAAACCTTAGCCGTAACGGCGGAGCTGGAGGGGATGGATTGTTACAGTGGGGGCAACGGAAACGATCACGCGCCTCCAGAGCCGAGATCCGATCCGTCTCCGTCGCTGCTGCAGATGATTCGTCCTCTTCCTCCGGACAAAGTTTGATTCCCCCACCTAGTAAGCTTCAGAGAAGATCGTCAAATCCGTCTATGCCTCCGCCGTCGCCTTCACGGACTACGAATCCGAGAAATGGTATCGTCATCGGCAAGGAATCATCCAGATTCGTCCCTACCAGGTTTTTAGCCAACTTCCTTCTCTCTTTTTTTTTTCTCCATTTTTGAAAAATCGATTTGATTTTTAAATTTCCCTTTTTACAGAGCTTAAAAAATTAATCTTCTTTCTCTAATTGTGACTTCCAAAATCTGATGTATTTACTGTTACTCTGAGTATACTATTCTTTGCTGTTTGGATTATTTATGAAAAAAATTTCTTATTCTTTTTTTGCTATTGAGATCCAAGTATTTGGTTCATGGCATCAGTTGTGTTACTAGCTTTTTACCAAAGTTGGTTTTTGATCAACAAAACTCCTTTTGCGAGTTTACAATAATACCCTTGCAGAAACAAGAAACAAAGAGCTATGTATTTTGTTCCTCCCCCAAAAATCTCTGTTTTAAGGTTTTTCTTTTCTCCTATGTTTTGCTTTGTGGGTAGCATTTTCTTTGGTTCATGATAATTAATACTATATAAAAGGTTTTTGAATCATCATCTGTTTCATTTAACAGATCTTGAATTTCTCTGTTCCCTTTCTTTGACCCAGTCTACGGTTTTTTTTTTTTTTTTTTTTTTTTTGCCTTTCTCTCTTCAAAATTACAATTTTTATAGATCCTTTAGATTGAGTGGGCAATAGAAATTACATACATCTGTCTGGGTTTTATTTTTGGTCTGCTTTTTCCTTTTTTTAAATCCGATTTTTTGTTTGTTATATTAATAGTTCTTTCCTAAAATTCTTCAGTTTTGGGCAGAATAATAAAATAGATATCTTAATTCTTCGAACTCTTTCAAAGTTTGAAACTTTTTAAACTCCTACAACACTATCAACTTGTAAGCTCGATTTTTTTTATCTAAAACCAAATAAAAATTAATTTTTTGATCATGCCCAGGCATCTAGAAGATCGATCAGCCACAGGTTCGCCGTCAAGAAACATCGGGGTTGGTGGTGGTAGTGGTCGGATGGTGTCCAGATCGGCCAACGCTGGTTCAAAGCGATCTCCTCCTTCTCCGGACAAGACTGAAACTAGATCAAACGGTAAAGATCATCATCATCATCATCAGAGACAGAACGGTTTAGATCAAACACATCATCACAATCAAAGGATGAATCGATCAGAATCTACGGCTCAGATTCACTCAGAGCTAGAGACGAGCAATGGAGAGAAAACAGCACACGTGGAAGTTAAAGAATGGCCAAGAATCTACATTGCTTTGTCTAGAAAAGAGAAAGAAGAAGATTTCTTGGCTATGAAGGGAACAAAACTCCCTCATCGACCAAGAAAACGAGCAAAGAACATTGATAAAGGCCTCCAGGTTAGGCCAATTTCATCTTCATTTGCTTTTTTTTTAAAATATATTTTTTGTTTGCTTCAAATGATATTGAAAAATTATCTTGTTTCTTGGCAGTATTGTTTTCCAGGGATGTGGTTGCCTGAATTGAACAAGAGTCGTTATGAAGTTAGAGAGAAGAAGAGTGTTAAGAAGGTAACTGAACTAAAATGTTAACATTACGACTTGTGCTAAATCTGGTTTTGCAAGTTTTCTCAAGTCTCTAATAACATAAAGATTAGATTTAAAGTCTTTGAATCAAAGATGCACCATGCATTCATATGGATCTTGCTGTAGAGAAGATTGAGTGGACGTTATCAAAACCTTAATGTTTATTTTATTGAAGAAAATTTTAGAAGCTAGACAGGACATGGGAACTACTCTTAACAACTTTAACTTATTAAATTAGTTTTCAAGTAAGAATAATAAGACTAATGGAGATTAGATTAGTGAGTAATGGTGTTTATTCTTGTGATTAATGTTTGTGTAGCAGCAGAAACGAAGAGGATTGAAAGGAATGGAAAGTTTGGATTCTGACTCCGAGTAGGCACGTGTGGATCGCAAATGGCGCACGTGTGAAGGCGAGTGCTCCTCTGTTTTTTCCCTTTATTTTTGAAAAATCATAATCTCTTTTCATTTTGTTTATCTATATAATAATTTTTTGTTTCTCTTACGTGTTCCAAAATCATATTTTTTTTGTCCTACTCTTCTCGTGTACAAAAAACAAAATGAAAGGCAAAGATGCGTACTGGTTAGTCTTCTTTTCAGAAGAAAAAAAAATGCTATAAATAATATTTTGGTTTGCCTCAACTTCCGTGAAAATGGAAAAAAGCATTTTAATGAGCCATCCACATACATATAAGTCATTTTTATCTATCAATACAAAATTACAAATGAATAAACTTTGTGATAAGAACTTTAAATTGAAAAATGAATTGTACTTTTGATTCGTTACGTATGCAAATCCCGGAATCCCGTCCTCACCACAAAGAAACTAGATCGGCCGCTTTAAATGGCCGGTTAAATTCGCTAAACCAGAGAACCAAAAATGTTCCCATCCGAAATTCCCAACCCGGTTCGAACCGGAGAGAAATCGGTTAATACAGCATAAAAATCAAAACCCCCCGGCGCGTGAGAGAATTAATTAATCAAGGCGGCGCATGAGGTCCCTGCAACTACGGGAATCTTGTCAGCATTTTCCGGCAAAGGTCTGATTTCTCCATAAGTTTATCTCTAAAGTAGTATCAAACTCTAAGAACCATTTTGAATAAGAAGAAAATAGAGTATTGTTAGGAACTGATCCCAATTATATTTGACAGTGACGACAGACAAAAACAGCATTTTTAACTTTCTGAAGTTAAAAGAATGTCTGACAAAAAGGAGTAATTAACTTGATAAAATATTCATTCAAAAGTGTTTGAAATTCAGTTAAAAAAGAGAAGATCTAGTACCGATAGTAACAGCTGAATCAGAATCTTAAAACTCAAAAGTCAAAATTTTGTCAGCCAAACTCTAAAAGTTTTACCTGATTTCGTACGTGAAATTTCTTAATTTCACCATTTATTTGTTTGTCCTTTTTCAGCAAACTTGCTCAGTTTAAAATCTTATCATTTGCGCAAAACAAATCATACAGCTTTACTATTCACATGTGAGTGACTGATCAAAATACAGAAACCTTGAAACATTTTGATAGAAGATTACTTTCTTGATACCAAACCTTTTTAAGATGGTTTCTCGCAGAGTTTCCATTGCTTCACTGTCTCCCTCATACGCTCTGGAACTTTCTTAGACCAGTCACTAAGATCAGGCAAGCCTCCGGTTAACGCAACGAAATTGAGACCTTGTGAATCCGGCGTCCTCTTCCAGCAAACCTACAACCAAATGTGGTTTATACATTTTTTTTACGTTTCACATTCAAATGAAAAGATGAGATAAGAGTTTTACTAATTACTTACTTGACCAGGAAATGCTTCTGACAAGATCTTGATGGTAGAATTCAACATCCACACCGAATCACCTAAAACCAACTCAACTTTTCCATTTGTTGCAACACTTTCTGCTTCGATCCCGGCGCAGTTCACCATCATCCGACCGTTCGGCATTAGCCTGCTCGCTAGATCTAGCCATATTGGAACCTGTACAAACCTCAAAATTAAAAAAAAAAATACTATGCGGTGTGCAAAAGAGTCTATATATATGACAATTTTAGAATACCTCTTGAAGCTGATCTAAGACCTTTCCATTAGAGAACAAATCAACGATGATAGCTAAAAGAATTTCTTGATTAGATAAGAATTCAAAACAAGAAAAACAGAATAGGCAAACATACAAATAAGTAATCTCACCAGCATATCTTTTTGATTCATCTTGAGAAGGAAGGAGAGCATCACCTACATGAACACAAAGCCTACCACCTTCCGATGTTGGTTCTTCAAGCTCAGATAAACCAAGATAGTCTCTTGCTTTCTCGATCAACTACTCTCCACAAGATATTCAAGAAATCACAGTGAACTCAACGGAAAGCCGCAAGAAACATCAAAATAGGATTTAACATACAATTTCATCAATTTCCCAACCGTCAAGCTGCATAGAAGGCCACAGCTCAAGCATCAATCTTGCAGATGTTCCACCACCCTTAAAAACACACATGAACACAGTCATCATTTTATGTACATTCCATAAAATTTGAGATGATATGAGTTCTCACCAATCCATAGATTGCAATTGGACCATTAGGGATAATTGGTGGTAAACTCACAGCTTCATCCTGTAACAAAATGTTGATAGAAATTCAACAATATAGCACATTTAAATGTTTTTAGTTATGCATCCAAGAAAACAAATATGGCAAAAAAGAGAAATAGTCACAAGACTATAATTTTGGCAGCTGTCATTTACAAGAAAACAAAGATGGCAAAAATCTAACATACCCAATATAATCCAGTCCAATTCTGGCCTCCTTTATTGATAACACTATGTACATTTTCTACATAACGACAAAAAAAAAAAAAAAAAAAAAAGACAGATTACAAAACCAGAGGATTTGATATAAACAAACTATAGGACTTGGGGTTAAAAAATCTCACTAGTTGAATCAAGGAGAAGATATCTGGAAGAAACTGTATCGACTATAACAATCTCATTGTATCTGCTTCTTACGGCTGTCACAACCCAATAATCTTCTTCTTTTTCTTCTTTGTCTTCTTCTCTGCTAGATTCTTGCTGAATCTCTCTATCTTGCTTGAGGCAAAATGAGATTGAGAAACTGGGTTTCTTCAAAAAGGGGTTTGTGAACAACGGTTTTGAAAATTGAGACGAAAGGAAGCAGCTTTCCTTGTGAGAAAGTGAATGTAGACATGAAATGGCCATGGAACTCAAAACTGCCATTTTTGTTTTTCTTTTCTTTCAACGATCTCTTTGCTTCTAAAGCCTTATCCAATTTAGTGTCGTTTACAGTCTTCATGGCACATAAAGCAATAAAAACGAGTTTTGGATCGTTTTTTTCGAAACAGTCAGCAGTACAGAGCTTTTGCAACGGTAAGCGTCCGCTTCTGTACCGTACAAACGGCACGATTTTTGAATAAACAATTATATTTTGACAATATACATGTTATGTATATTCTTTTGCACAAAATGTATAGTTAACTCAAACAGACTTCATTCATATTTAATACTGAATACAAAGAGTTTATCTCTCCATCTCAACAATTGGATTCATCCAAGAACTGAGCAAACTTGAAAACAAGTTCAAGAACATAATTTGTAGCATTTTTTTTCCATCAAAATCTTTTTCATATGCTTCTTACTGTTATAGTGAACAACTCATGTTTAACATTGCATTAAGAGGTCTCGCAGAGTTTCCATTGCTGAACAGTTTCGCTCAAACGGATTGGAACTTTCTTAGACCAGTCACTAAGATGAGGTAAGCCTCCGGTTAAAGCAAGAAAGTTGAGACCTTGCGAATCCGGCGTTCTCTTCCAGCTAACCTACAAAGGAAGGAGATCATTCGTAAGCAAATGCGGTTTAGATCTTAATACCGTTTTCACGTGCAAATGAGGATAATATTTGAGTTTACTACTTACTTGTCCAGGAAATGCTTCTGACAAGATCTTGATAGTAGAATTCATCTCCCACACAGAATCACCTAACAACAACTGAGGTTTTCCGTTCGTTGCGGCTTTCTCTTCTTCGATTCCGGCACAATTCACCATGATCCGACCGTTTGGCATCAGCCTGCTAGCTAGATCCAGCCATATTGGAACCTAAAGAAAACTGAAATCAAAATACTAAGACGCACAAAAGTGTCTACATAATGAGACTAATATTTACTACTACTACCTGTTGCAGCTGATCTAAGACTTTTCCATCAGCGAACAAGTCAACAATGATCCCTAAATCAACACAAGAAGTCAGAGAAAAAGAAACCAGAATTATGCACCATGCATATATATTGTTCTTGAAACCGCACCAGCATATCTTCCTGAAACATCTTGAGAAGGAGAGAGAGCATCATCTACATGAACACGAAGACTACCGCCTTTTGAAGTTGGTTTCTCTAGCTCAGATAATCCAAGATAGCCTCTTGCTTTCTCAATCAACTACTGTCACAAAAGAATAAAAAAAAATCACAGTGACCTCAAGATTTTCTAATATGCAAACTCCAGAGAAATCTGAAACTGTGTCCAGATAACATACATACAATTTCATCAATTTCCCAACCTTCAAGTTGTATTGAAGGCCACAACTCAAGCATCAATCTTGCAGCTGTTCCACCACCCTGAAAACCATTTGAACAAAAGTAATCACACCAGTGACAAGTGAAGCATATTTCACATTCATCCTATACAATTCGTTGAGTAGTTCTTCGTTCTCACCAATCCATAGATTGCAATGGGACCATTTGGTATAATAGGCGGTAAACTTGAAAACTCATCCTGCACCAAATTGTTGATAGCATTCATCAAAAGCGCATTAAAGCTACGATTTTTGCAGCTTATGTCAATTTGCAGAAGAAAGATGGACAAAATCGAACATACCCAATAGCATCCAGTCCAATTCTGACCTCCTTTGTTAACGAGGCTATGCACATTCTCTACATAATTGAAAAAACAAAGAAAGGTTACAATCAGAGGATTAAAATGCAAACTTTAGGACTGTAAGGTTAAAAATCTCACTAGTTGAATCAAGGAGGAGGTATCTGGAAGCAACAGTATCGACTATAACAATCTCATTGTATCTACTTCTTACGGCTGTAACAACCCAGTACTCTTCTTCTTCTTCTCCGGCAGATTCTTGTCGAATTTGCATCTCATCATTGTCACTTGGCTTGAGGCAAAACGAAATTGAGACTCTGGGTTTGTTCAGAGATGGGTTTATGAACAAGGGTTTTGAAAATTGGGATGGTTTATATGCAAGGAAGTAGCTTTCGTTGCGAGAATGTGATTGTAGACATGAGATGGCCATGGAACTTAAAGCTGCCATTTTTTTGGGTTTCTCAGTGATCTCTTTGCTCTCTTTTCTTCATTGCATTGCTTCCAAAGTGTTATCCTTTCTACTACCTTGGATTTACATGTTTTACAGTCTCAGGTCAAAACCAAAAGTGACTTTTGGATTTGTGACTCTACAAAGTGAAAATTACAGGTTTTACTTTGACACCGGCACAACTTGTAAACCAGTAAGTGGTGAGTTGTGACTCACAAACGGCACAACTTGTGTCTCTAGAAAGTGAAAATTAGTGTTGAATACAAACGACACGATGTGTTGTTCTCTTCAAAAGGGACCTTCGTGTTGGTCTATGAGACCACGTAAGCTATGAAATGGCCACGAACTCAAATTAGCTAGTTTTTGCCAAATTCGACGTAATAATCTTCACCAAACACCAATCACATTCACATAAACAACAAACTATTTACAGTTTTTCTATATTTTCTTCCAACTTTCAAACTGCAATACAACAAATTATCTCATTAGTTTAGACCAAAATAATTTTGATGATTTGATTCGCAAATCATAAACTAAAATATTTTTTATCCTATTCATAAAAACATAGAGATTGAGACACTTCAACGGATAGGCTAAACAAGAGCCCCTCATTTTTGCCTCCTCACCTTCTTCCATTTACAAATAAAACACTCACACAAATCTTCTTCACTCTCCCCCAATTTTCCTCCCAAAATCCACCCCAAAACCCTAATTTCCCTCTCCCATGGCGATTTCGGCTCCTGCCCCTACTTCTTCCTCCTCCAGACTCCTCTATTCCTACGCTTCTCCCGCCATTTCCACCTCCGGTAATCCCAAATCCCTAACTCTCTCCTCCTCCTTCCTCCCTTCAATCGCTTCCCTCTCCCTCTCCACCTCCTCCCCTCAACGCCTCCGCCGCGCGTTCACCGTACGCGCCGCCAGAGGAAAATTCGAGCGGAAGAAGCCGCACGTCAACATCGGCACAATCGGTCACGTTGACCATGGCAAAACCACTCTAACCGCCGCGCTAACCATGGCCTTAGCTTCAATTGGATCCAGCGTCGCCAAAAAATACGACGAGATCGACGCCGCCCCGGAGGAGAGAGCTCGCGGAATCACAATCAACACCGCCACGGTCGAGTACGAGACGGAGAACCGCCATTACGCCCACGTCGATTGCCCCGGCCACGCCGATTACGTGAAGAACATGATCACCGGAGCTGCTCAGATGGACGGAGCAATCCTCGTCGTTTCCGGCGCCGACGGTCCTATGCCGCAGACGAAAGAGCACATCCTTCTAGCGAAGCAAGTCGGCGTCCCCGACATGGTCGTCTTCCTGAACAAAGAGGACCAAGTCGATGACGCAGAGCTTCTAGAGCTCGTCGAGCTCGAGGTTCGTGAGCTTCTCTCCTCTTACGAATTCAACGGCGATGACATTCCGATCATCTCCGGCTCCGCTTTGCTAGCCGTCGAGACTCTCACCGAGAATCCAAACGTGAAGAGAGGCGAGAATAAATGGGTGGATAAGATCTACGCTTTGATGGATTCCGTCGACAGCTACATTCCGATTCCGACGAGGCAAACGGATCTGCCGTTCTTGTTAGCCGTGGAAGACGTGTTCTCGATCACCGGCCGTGGGACTGTAGCGACGGGGCGTGTGGAGAGAGGTACAGTGAAAGTAGGAGAGACTGTTGATTTGGTTGGACTGAGAGACACTAGGAATTACACTGTGACCGGAGTTGAAATGTTTCAGAAGATTCTTGATGAAGCGATGGCTGGAGATAATGTGGGGTTGTTGCTTAGAGGTATACAAAAGGCTGATATACAGAGAGGGATGGTTTTGGCGAAGCCTGGATCGATCACTCCTCATACGAAGTTCGAGGCGATTGTGTATGTGTTGAAGAAAGAAGAAGGTGGGAGGCATTCGCCGTTTTTCGCTGGGTATAGGCCTCAGTTTTACATGAGGACGACGGATGTTACGGGGAAAGTGACGAAGATTATGAATGATAAGGATGAGGAGTCGAAGATGGTTATGCCTGGTGATCGGGTTAAGATCGTTGTGGAGCTTATCGTGCCGGTTGCTTGTGAGCAAGGGATGAGGTTTGCTATTAGAGAAGGTGGTAAGACTGTTGGTGCCGGAGTGATTCAGGCTATTCTCGAATAATGAGTAAATTAGATTGTTCTTGTTTTGTTTTTGTGGGTTTCTTTGTGGTTTAGAAGCTCTGGACATTTTGGTTTGCTATTAGTTTTGTTTATCTTCTTTTGTTTCGCCATGTGCTATGAGAACTCGGAATCAAAATGTCGTATATTCTCTCCGGTTTCAATCTGGATTCAAGGCTCACGTTCGTTGGATCATAAACCATAGTTCTAAACACTTAAAGTAATGCTGACATAAAAAACCACTTTATGATATAGTATTATGCATAGGGTTATTGAATATGAAAAATAGCTTTTAAGTTGCAGAAGGTTTTGTTTGTCAGCCGAAAAAACTCTTGGAATGTTTGATTCTCTCTGATATTTTTGTTTTGGTAGAAGGTTAAGTCTTCGTATCATGGTAGTGGTAGTGGCTATGATGGTGGCAATAATGGTGGTGGAGGAGGTGGCGGTGGCTGACCATCACCACCATTATTTGTAAAATCTCCATCACGTCTTTTAACTTCACCCTTTTTAGTTCCTATACTGAATGATGGGGTTACTCGTATCATCTTGCTTCTCCATCCTAATTTATCAAAACAATTGTTAGAGATAAAATATCATGTCTATGTAAAAAGAATGTTAATTAATTAGAAACAAATGTTAATTGTAATCAAACCAAAAGAAAATTATTTTGGACGAAAATCTTATTTAAAAAAATATATATTTCAAAATACTAAGTCGAATCAAATGATATTTGTCCCTTTTTGGTTCATTAACCAAGATAAATATACAAAACCTGAACTGAACAAAAATTATATTATCAAACGGACACTCTAACTGACTTTGGAGAAATAGTTCACAAGAACTAGCACAATATATACCTGAAAAAAATATCGGTGTTTCTGGAGAACTATATCGATCTGCACATATCACCAATTTTTGCTATTCGATTTATGGAAATCATTAGGAAATATGTGTCAAGACTCAAGACTAACCTGATGGTTGTGGAGACGCAAAAGCACAGTCATTAGAGCACGAGACCATAAGAGCCATAAGAAGCAAGAGCACCACCTTCTTTGTCATCTGTCTTCCTCACTTTGTTGATTTGTGAAACATCATGAATTCATGATCCCATACCCTTATTTATATATATAATTTTTTTTTTGATACATTGTTTCTTTGATAATTTGTAATATAGGTTTCATACAAGGATAAAAAATGACGCGTAGCAAATAATGACAATTTTTCAGCCATCCATTCATTTAGTCAACAAAGACAAAACAAGTCATTGGCATTTACCTTTGCTAAGGAATTATCTTTTTGAATTTAGAAAGACATTTCTTCTCAAATAATGATGATCCAAAGGAAGACTAATATCATTGAGAGGGTTTCTCATGTAACAATAAAGAGACAAAAGCAGCCCAAAGATGTAGGCAGCCCATTAAACCAGAACCTGAGATTGGTTGACTAGCACTCAAGATTGAGAGAGTAAGTAAGAATGTTTGTGATACAAGTAAACTCTATTGAAGGAAAACACATTTAACGTTTTTTTCGTGAGCCAAAAGTCTTAGCTATGTGATTCCAATAGCCATTGGTGATGGTGACTTGGTGAGCACACTGCACACAACTACTTCATCTGGTGAACATGCGTGTATTCAATATTAAGAAATTAGATTATCGGCTAAGCATAAACCAATGAAAGGAAACTTAAACACTAAGACATTGCTTCATTAAAGCTACTTTATTTCAGCGAAAATTCTGACAAAAAACTGCAAAAGATTTTTGTTGAAGGCTGCTACAAGGCGTTGCTTGGGGAAATGTTTCACTTTTGACCACTTCGTCGGACCTTGCAGTGGGATTCACGTACATACCAATCGATGACAGATTAGACCCATTGTAAGACCCAAAGAAACCATCAAACTCGCATCGATCATGTATTGCCGGATCAATCTCTATGGTAGGATCGTCTGCATAGTCACCATCTAAAATTCCAATCGGTCCGTGCTTCCCAAGGTTAGTGTGGAATGTCAAAATTTTTATTCCTAGTGACAGTGCTAGTACTCCAGTTAAGCCAGTCACATATTCATCTTGCTTCAGTGTCACCTGCGTATATATAACTTCATCAGCGACTTTTCATTTCACAGGAGGTTACTAAAAAAACGATCAGACTATTTTAAACAAACAAAACTTACAACTCTAAGATTGTGTCCATCAGAAGGACCAAACTTTTTGGATAGGACAAGAACTCCTTTCTCCAAGTAACCAAACTGAATAGATGTTATGAGATTTTTGCTGTAAGAAACGTATATATTAGAGATCATGGTGCGTCCCTTCTCGTTCCATTCAACCTCACTATAGCCGGCCACTTTGCTTCCCACTGGTCCGGCTCTTATCATCTCTATACTAAGAAGGGTAAAGAGTAGAATAGTTTTAGGAGGACAGTGAGAGAGATATAGACGAAGGACGAATAAATAAGTTATACTCTCTTGTCCAGAACCCAAAGAGACGTCATAAGTTTAATTTATGAATTTAGTTGCGTTCATTAAAGAAAACTCTTGAAAATTGTTTTAGAGTAAGTTTTTCGTTTGACCAAAATCCGTTTACATTTTTTTCTACAACAAAGGGATTCTATTGGACACATCTCAAGCCGGTGGAGTGGTGAGGATCAAACAAAAGAATTGTAAAGTATATCATATAAACAGAAAATTTGATAGTATTTAATTAACAAGATTTGATGAGATTAGTGAGAGAGTTTAAACTATTCTTGTACAGTTGTACTAGTGTCGTTGGACTTGGATAGTTGGATGAGCTATAAATCATAGGCAAAACTCGAGCTTCGTTCTTCACGTATCCGAACTGGATTGATGTTAAATATCTGTAAATAT